ACAAAGTAGAACTATCTTTAAGGATAGGTAAAATTTAGGCATGGAGAAGGGAACAAGATGAACAGAGGCATGAAAATTAGAATGTACTTTGTAATAAATGAAAAGAGTTCACATGTTGGTATTGACTATGAGGAATAAAGGTCAGTTCAAATATACAATGTATATAGTGTCCCAAAATTTTATCATACTTTTAAGTTTTAATAACTTGGGAAGGATAAGTGCTACAAACTGAAAAAAGTATATTTGAATGATCAATCCTTTTAATTCCATTTGTACTTAATTCAGTTTTGGGAATGCTTCACATTCACTTTTTTTTTTTTTTTTGAGATGGAGTCTTGCTCTGCTGCCCTGTCGCCCAGGCTGGAGTGCAGTGGCGCAGTCTCGGCTCACTGCAACCTCCACCTCCTAGGTTCAAGTGATTCTCGTGCCTCAGCCTCCTAGGTAGCTGGGATTACAGGCACCCGCCACCACACCCGGCTAATTTTTGTATTTTTACTAGAGACGGGGTTTCACCATGTTGGCCAGGCTAGTCTCGAACTCTCGGCCTCATGTGATCTTCCACCTCAGCCTCCCAAAGTGCTGGGATTACAAGTGTGAGCCACTGCACCTGGCCAACATTTTTAAATTTTAATTTTCTGTCGCAGCACTTTCTGGGTGACACGTAAACCAGTGGATTGGTAGCGAATCTTGTTATGCTTGGCCACTTTGGTCACCTAATCTGTCTTAATAGACTTGTTGGTGGGAGAGGAGTGGGTCACATCAGAACTGTTACGCATGCATTACTCTTTGGATGGTCTTAAAGCCAAGATAACAAATGCCGTCCTTTCAGGCACTGAGCAGCAACTGATGAAAGCTTTTACAAAGGTCAAAAATCAACTAGAACATAAGATGGTGACTATGTTGAATTTTAATAAGATACATCAGTATTTTAAATAATTATACTTTAAATGCTGATTTGTTTTTGTTTTGAGATGGAATCTCTGTCGCTAGGCTGGAGTGCGGTGGCGCGATCTCGGCTCACTGCAACCTCCGCCTCCCGGGCTTAAGTGGTTCTCCTGCCTCCGCCTCCTGAGTAGCTGGGATTACAGGCACGTACCACCATGCCCAGCTAATTTTTGTATTTTTAGTAAAGACAGGATTTCACCATGTTGGCCAGGATGGTCTTGATCTCCTGGCCTTGTGATCTGCCTGCCTCCACCTCCCAAAGTGTTGGGGTTACAGGCGTGAGCCACTGCACCTGCCTTCCTCTGAGGTTATTAAAACTTAATTTGTACTAAGACTTTGAAGACACTTGATATAAATCTTGTCATATCAGCCCCCTGCTTCGGGTGCTTTGGTTGTGTCTCCATTTTCTTTGTGTGTAAAGGTCATACTACTTAACATAGTGTACAAGCAAGACCTGTCATGATCCCAGTCTGGCTTCCCTCTGCACTGTCGATGTTTCCTTCATGATCCCACCCATGCCGATAGGCTCAGCTCATACCTCTGTGCTCATAGCTCTTAAGGGCATATCTTCAGCCCCAACTTCCCCATTGAGCTACAGACCTGCATCCTTGTTGCTTAGTGGACCTCACTTCAGGCACCACGAACTTGGCCCCATGCAGTGAGTGGGGGAGGAACTGGATTTGGAGCCAGAAGAACTGGTTCTAATATCTACTTCCCTGTGTAGAATTGGGATTTGGGATTATATGAGTTAGTACACACCAAAGAACTTTGTATTACTGTAATAATAGTTTGCAAACATTGATTATTTTCTCAAAACTTTTTTCCTTTGTCTGTTACCACTTAGTTAATGATATTCGACCTTCACTAGGCTATAGGATCAGAATGATAGGATTCATGTCTAACATGGATTACCAGTAAGTGATGACTGGCAAGTTACTCAACCACTCTGTGCCTCATTTTCCTCATCTGTAAACGGAGGATAATACTAGAATACTCTTCATAAGCTGTTAGGAAAATTACCCGAGTTAATACACGTAAAGCACTTAATAACAGTTTCTAGCACTTAGTAAGCACTGAATCAATGTGAACTCATTACGTCAGGATCCGAATCTATCTGTCATAGCATATAGTAATGTAGTTTACTGTGATGGTTTTGCCTCACTTAGGTGATTGTGATTTTCTAAAGGGCAGAGACCATGTCTAATGCATCTTTGTGTTCCTGGTGCCCGTTATTTGATACACAGTAGGTTTCAGTAAATGTTTATTAAACTGGTGGTAGGCTTATAGAAAGTAAATATATCTAGAATTTTTTATTCCGTTTTCCCTACTTTGCTCTTTACAGGAAAAAGGTCACTGGTCAGAACAGCAAGAAGAAAGTAGCTCTTGAAGACAAAAGTTAAAAACAGACTTTAAAAATACCATCCCAGAAATGTAATGTTATGATCCCAACATGAATGGTATTTTCATGGAATACTTGAAGTCTTACAGTCACCTGTACCAAACATTTGAAATCAACTACAAGTACATGGGACTGGTGAAAAATGATCCTAAGCTATCAAGTCAATTTCAATTTGTAGGTGCCTTTTTTTTTTTTTTCTTTAGAGATGGGATCTTGCCATGTTGCCCAGGCTGTTCTTGAACTCCTGACCTCATGCAATCCTCCTGCCTCAGCCTCCCGAGTAGCTGAGATTACAGGCACAAGCCGCTGCACCCAGCTCTGTAGGTGACTTTTAAATGATTATACAATGGAAATAACATTCATTGACATTGGTTTGAATCCAGAGAGATACTTCTTATAGAAGAACAAATGTTTATGCTAAAAATAATACCAAAATGTGGTAAACTCTTAAGGACTTTTCCCTTTGAGTGTGAAGGAAGGTGTGATGAATGCTGTGGAGAGGCATCTGGAACAGAAATTCAAAATAAAGCCTTGACATTAAATACCCCTTCCACTGCTCACTTCGTGGATGGTAGCATGGGCTGTCTACCAAGAAGAAACCTGCTGCTCTCTTAATTTTAATATTTCCTCATTAGTTGATGGCCTTTTGTGTTGTGAACCACAACAAAGAGAGGCCTCTTTTGTGGCTGGTTATTCAAGTTCCCTGGGATTTTAAATTCTTTGGTCTATTAAGTATCCTTGTATTGGATACTTAATACCTTAGCCCTGTCATGATGTTGCACAAGATCATGATCGGCTTCTCTCTTCATTTTCCATCATTTAACCATATTCTTTCCTGTCTCTTTCCATTTAAGATTATTTTATTTGAATACTGATAAACATTTTATCCTGATAAGGAAGAATGTTCCTGTTACTTGATATACCTCTGTCTTCATTCTGTTACAGCTTATCTTTCCTTAGGTTGATGGCGCCTCATTTAGTAAGTAGATCTCTGCCTAAGCTAAAGGATTATGATCATATGGTGTTGGAGACTATTAACTATTAGATTTTTCTCAGATACGAGTTTTGTACAATGGAATGAAAAATTGACTTCATACATGTAAGACTGTTGCCTAAGAATGACTTGAATGTTATCAGTACTACTACAGAACTATAATATACATTACCTTTTCTCAGCAGCATTTGAATTCAACTTATTTATTTCCTCTATTCGCAGCTTTTTCTAGAGTCAGAACAGGTGGACTTTGTTTTGAATATTTTAGATGGGACAAAAATTGTTCATCTTCAGAATTTATTTAATGATAGACCTGGTACAGGGTGTAAAAATACTTAAAAGAATATGGTTTTTTTGTTTGTTCATGCAAACAGATCCTTTACCCAATATATATTCTGGAGGTAGGTGTACTGGTGCAACCCATTTGCCAGCTGTGTGACTTTGAATAAGTTCTTAATTTCTCAGAGTTTCAGTGTTCTCATCTATGAAATTGTGTCTCAAATTGTAAGTACCTAGCACTGTACCTGACACATAGTAAATTCACAATAAATATTCCTTTAACACACATAGATATTAGAAAAACAGGCTTGATAACACAGTTCCTACCCTTACAATATAATGTTAGAGAGAAAGTAAAGGAGCAGATAGAGTCACGCATCACTTAATGACAGAGAGATGTTCTGAGAAACGCATCGTTAGGTGATTTTGTCATTGTGTAAACATCATGTTATCTACTTCCACAAACCTAGATGGTATAGCCTACCGTACACCTAGGCTATGTGGTACAGTCTATTGCTCCTAGGCTACAGACCTGTGTAGCATGTTACTGTCTTGAATGCTATAGACTGTTGGAACATGTCGACTTTTATAAACACTGCCCACTTAATCTATACTAAATTTATTGAAAATATTTTTCTTGGCCAGGCGTGGTGGCTCACGCCTGTAATCCTAGCACTTTGGGAGGCCTAGGTGGGCAGATTGAGCTCAGGAGTTTGAGACCAGCCCAGGCAACATGGCAAAACCCCATCTCTACTAGAAAAATACCAAAAAAAGTTAGCCAGGTGCGGTAACATAATCCCAGCTACTTAGGAGTCTGAGGCAGGAGAATAGCTTGAACCTGTGAGGCAGAGGTTGCAGTAAGCCGAGATCGCGCTACTGCACTCCAGCCTGGGCAACAGGGCAAGACTCTTTCTTGAAAATATACACACATATTATATATATATTTTTTTCTTCAATAAATTAACCTTAGCATGCTGTAACTTTTTTACTTTGTAAGAGTTTTTTTTTTGTTTTTTGTTTTTTTTTTCTTGAGAAACAGTGTCTGTCGCCTAGTCTGGAGTTTAGTGGCACAATCATGGCTCACTGCAGCCTTGACCTCTTAGGCTCAAGTGATCCTCAAACCTCAGCCTCCTGTATAGCTGGTACTATAGGTGTGGGCCACCAACACTCAGGTAATTTTTAAATTTTTTTCGTAGAGACGAGGTTTCGCTTGTCCAGGTTGGGTTTTTTAGAAATTTTTTTTTTTTTTTTTTGAGGTGGAGTCTTCCTCTGTCGCCCAGGCTGGAGTGCGGTGGAATGATCTCGGCTCACTGCAACCTCTGACTCCTGGGTTCAAGTGATTCTCCTGCCTCAGCCTCCCGAGTAGCTGGGACTACAGGCATGCACCACCACACCCAGCTAATTTTTGTATTTTTAGTAGAGACGGGGTTTCACCATGTTTACCAGGCTGGTCTCAAACTCCTGACCTTGGGTGAGCCCCTGCCTCTGGCCTTTATAAACTTTTTGACTCTTGTAATAACACTTAGCCTAAAATGCAAACGTACAGCCGTAGAAAAATATTTTCTTTCTTTATACCCTTATTCTAGAAGCTTTTTTTCTATTAATTTTTTTTTTTTGTTTTATTTTACTATTTACTTTTAAACTTTTTCGTTAAAAACCATGGCACAAACACACACATTATGCTAGGCCTACAAAAGGTCAGGATCCTCAATCTCACTGACTTCCACCCCCACTTCTCATCCCACCATTGTATCTGCTGTCTGTACCTGACCAAAACATCATCATGTAGCACATGACTAGTGTGACAAGTGCTGTTAGATGTAAGGCCATGATGCTAAAGCATCACAGGAGGGCATCTAACCCAGATTGGGGATGTCATGGAAGGCCGACATCCTGAGTTGAATCCTACAAATGTAAAAACCAATAGGTAAAGAAGAGGAACAAAAAGTATTCCAAGACAAACTGAGGTCACATCTATGATCCTTGTCTTTATCGTGTCTGTTTAAAGTATCTACAGTAACCTGCATCAACTTAGTCAATGTATTAATACTAAATTTAGCTCCTTCAAAGCAGTCTGAACTATGTGCTACATAAATTTCAGCTTCACCCAGGGAAGGGAAGGAGTGAAATTAGTGAATAGACAGTTACAGCAAAAGACAGAAACAAAAAACAAAAATTGAATAGCTGGTTCTAGTGAATGAGCAAGGACTTTGGAGTCAAACTGGCCTGGATTTGAATCCTGATCCTATTGCTTGTAGCTGTATGATCTGGACAAATGACCTTGTTTCTAACCTTGATTTTCTCATCTGTAAGATGCCAATTGTAACTCCTAAGGATACTGAGGATTTTTTAAAATGGGCTTACAGTTCCTGACCAGTGGTTTGTGCCTAATAAATAACTTATTACAAATTGTTACCCAGTAAAAACCCTGAGACAAGAGTGAAAAAATAAAGCTAATTAATCCATTACTTGCTAACAAGCAAACTACATGCTTGAGAAAAGTACTCAACTTTTATGTTTTACTTCCAGACAGTAGTTTGATTAAAACAAACAAAAAAAATCACAGTCCAGGCATGTGGCTCACAGCTCACACCCTGGCACTGGGAGGCCAAGGCGGGAGCACAGCTTGAACCCAGGAGTTTGAAACCAGCCTGGGCAACATAGATCCTATCTCTACAAAAAAAAATTGGCCCCGTGTGGTGGTGCATGCCTGTGGTCCCAGCTACTCAGGATGCTGAGGCGAGAAGATCGCTTGAGCCCAGGAGGTTGAGGCTGCTGTGAGCGGTGATCATGCCACTGCACTCCAGCCTGGACAACACAGCAAGACCCTGTCTCCAAAAAAAAAAAAAAAAATTCAGTAAAAAAAATGCCGAAATAGCTTCAGAGTAATTATGAACTGCTTCCCAAAAACCACTGTTTTGCACTTACCTGCAAGAATAGGAAAAACAAAGGGACTGTAAGGTGGCAGAATGGCAGAACTAAACAAGAGTAGTACACCTTGGAGTTTTTTTTGAAATATGGGTTGAATTTTTGTGCTCTTGGTTGATTTAAAATAAAATTTAAATGCCTTCAGCATCTGTGATAGGTGCCAACATGAAGCTGCCGAGTTCCAGAGAAAGGGGGGACAGCTGATCACTAATCAGTGCTGCCAGACTATCAAAGGGCCCTTCAGGAGCTATCTGTTCTTTGTGTGTAAAGAGAGAACACCAGTGTACCCACCGTCTAGTTTAAAAATCAGGACTCAGCCTACTCTTTCCACTAACCGCGATCATGGTTTTCAAACGGAGGACCAACGGCGCTTTGCCACTGGGCCACCACCTGGGCCCTGCAGAGGGCCTACCAGACAATGAATCAGCTCCCTTGGAGAGGCGCCTGCGACCGCCCCACCACCCCGAGAGCCAAAATTGAACCTGGGGGACCTCTGCGGCGCCCTATCACGTGCCGTGGGCGCGCCACGCCTCCCCGAGGGCAGGGGGAGTCACGTGGGCGCGCGGCCCCGCCCCATCGCCCTGTCCGCGGCGAGGTGGGGCCTGGTGTTTGCCCCGGAAGTGGATGTCTTCCTCTGACAGCTGCTGATAAGGTGGCGGCGGCGAAGGCAGCGGCAGGCCGGGAGCAAGATGGCGCTGCGGCCAGGAGCTGGGTCTGGCGGCGGCGGGGCCGCGGGAGCCGGCGCGGGGGCCGCCGGGGGAGGCAGGTAGGTGTGAAGGACCGGGCAGGAACCCCCTGGCCTCCGCGGGGGCGGCGAGGGGCGCTTAGCGGTTATGGCGGTTTTCTCCAGCTCCGATTCTTTTCCTCGGAACTGGGCTGCAGGAGGAGGGTCATCCCCCAGGGACCCAGGACGAAAGGGGCGTGTGGAGCCCGGGTGCCCGACGCTTGTGTTCCGGGCTCATTTGGGGACGCCGGCCGCCTGGGGTCGAGCGGGGAGCGGGCGCGCGCCCAGTGTGGGAGGGGAGAGAAGATGAGGGTCCTCTTGGGGTGGGGGGGGCGGGGTAAATCAGGAACCCCGACTCCGCTCCTAGTCCTGGCTGCCTTGAAGCGACCAGGGTCTTCCCTTTCCCTGGGCTTTCTAGACTTACCAGATATGTTGGAGGGAGGGCTCTAAAAATCTGTTCACAAAGCTGGGTGACTGTTTCCAAGGGGGTGTGTGTGTGCGGACGATTTGTCTGTTCCCCTTTTAGAGTGTCCTGTCCTCTTTGTATTTCCTTAACCCGCGACAAACGGCAGGAACATCTAAAGACCTCTGAATTAGTAATGGTCTTGAGATACAGTTATTGTCTTGTACACTAACTCTTAAGACTTGTCTGTCCCTTTTTTAAAAAGGCATTTAGAAACAAAGAAAATGCACTGTTAAACAGCAGTTGCGCATTTATTAGAACAAAGCTTCCAGACTCTTAGCCCTTAAACACATCTGGCCTCTGCCACATTTCAGCCAAGAACGGGCTGTGGTTCTTCAACCCAGAACGGTAAGGGAGATGTACATTTGCAAGTTGACAGGTTCATTATTATTTAAGGAAATATTTTATTCTGGGAAGTTTTCACTCCACTTCTATAATGACCTAGTCTGATTTTGTTTTACTAACCAACACATACAGCACACACATTTGGAGGTATCCTAAGTTATCTTTGGAAATCGAAGTGTTAGGTTTTGTTTTGTTTTGTTGTTTTTTTTTTGTTTTTCCATGCAGTGTTTCAATTTCGGAGTCGTGAACACTACAAAAGTGTGAGGACCTTAAAGTTATCACCTCTTGCGGGTGCTTGTGTGTATGTCAGGAAACGAGCAGTGGCTGTTCAATAAACCACCTGTGTGCAACCCCATTTTTCATTTCCTCTGCACATCTTAGACTTAAGATTTTTAAACTTTTTGCTTTCTCTTTTGTTCTCTTCGTTGTTTCATTAGAGGTTTTTTAAAAAAATAAATACTTGGTATAAGCCAGTTTCTGGCTGGAGAAGAAACACATGTAATAATGTCCCCTCTATTTGTTTTCTTTTCTTTTTTTTTTTTTTTTCTTTCGTCTTGTTTGTTTGTTTTTTTTTCTTTCTTTCTTTATTTTTTTGAGAGGAAGTCTCGCTCTGTTACCCAGGCCAGAGTGCAGCGGCACGATCTCGACCCACTGCAACCTCTGCCTCCGGGTTCAGGTGATTCTCCTGCCTCAGCCTCTGGAGTAGGTGGGATTACCGATGCGCGCCACCACGCCCGGCTAATTTTTGTTGATTGATCGATTGAAACAGAGTCTCGTTCTATCACCCAGGCTGGAGTGCCGTGGCACGATCTCGGCTCAGTGCAACCTCCACCTCCCGGGTTCAAGCGATTCTCCTGCCTCAGCCTCTCAAGTAGCTGGGATTACAGGCATGCTCTACCACGCCCAACTAATTTCTGTGTTTTTAGTAGAGACGGGGTTTCACCATGTTGGCCAGGCTGGTCTCAAACTCCTGGCCTCAAGTGATCTGCCCACCTCGGCCTTCCAAAGTTCTGGAATTACAGGCGTTAGTCACCACGCCCGGCATCCTCTATTTATTTCCTATGTGTGATTACAGTTTCTAAAATATCCCTGTGTGGTATTAATTTGATTAAGTATATGATTAATCATGGCACCAAGTTCTGGGAAAATGTAAACTTAGAAGAATTGATATCTAGGCCCAAATTGTTATTTACTTAAAAAAAAGGTTTTTGGGTGGGGAGGACCTCAGGTTCAAGTGCATTATTCCCTTTAGTTTATAGTATTTGAGTATCATTGGTCCATGGACGCAAATTTTTAAAATGAATATGGGTTGAATTTTGATAGAATGATTTTAAAATTTCCCTCCTTTGTAAATGTAGTAACATCTGTATTCTAAAACTGTAAACGATATATGGAAGAGAAAGAAATGGTTGAAATGATCCTTACCTTGAAAAATGTATGGTACATTTTACATATATTGGCAACTTTCTGAGACTGAGAAGCTGTATCCTCAATAGAAAAAGAAATACTATGTTTTTTAAGAAAGTTATGGTAAAGGCTGAAGCTATTTTATTTTTAATTTTCTTTTTGCCACCCACCCTCCCTGAAATTATTTTATAAGGAAACTAACATTATGGCAACCTAAGTATATTAGAAGAAAAAGAACAGGCAACTTCTCTACACCTTTAATGGAGAAAATCCGTGAACTATAACTGACTGTATTGTTTGGATACTTCTCTCTATTCTGAGAGGCTAAGCAAAAGACAATAATGTTTTCCAAATTTAATATTAGCCTACTTTTGATTGGTGTCCTGAATGAGCTACTTTAGAATAAATGGTAGAGTTGTATAAATGGCAAAATTTGCCCAAGAGATGAGAAGTATAATTCTTTTTTTTTTTTTTTTTTTTTTTTTTTTAAATCAAGTAAGGCAGAAAAAAAAAAAAGTTGAAAGGTCTGGATTAGTCTGTAGTCATTGAATGCCTACATGGGTAACATACTGTTCTTGATGCTGTAATGAATTAAAAAGACATCAAAACATGGTCCCCATCCTTGGAGAATGTACAAAATAACTGTGGTACAAAGTAAAAGAGAACAAAAGAGGTCACGTTCTTCTAGAATGTTATCATTTATGAACTTGTCTATTTTTTCCTATCTTTTACAAGCTTTTAGAGGGCTTCCTCATCTTTTCTTCTTCCACTGCTTCTAGCACATTTTTGCACATAAAAAACATTCTGTAAATATTTGTGGATTCCAGCTACATCAAAGGCAAAGAAGTGATATTTCAGTTGGGTTACAATTAGAGGAAGAGGAAGTGGTCAAGAGATTGTCGTAGAGCTGGGAAGGCCTAGTGAACACTAAGGAAACAACGTACCTGTAGTGCCAGATGACTGTGGCTCTGAGTGGTGGTGAAGAGTTTTGTGAGATTATTTTATAAGGAAACTAACATTAGTTTCCTTATAAAACTGAAAAGTAGAGTTGTGCCCAAACTAGAGAGGGCCTTGAGTTTAAACTAAGGAAATTCAGTTTCAGGGAAATCATTCCATAGTTTTAACTCCAGGAGTGCATCTTGCTAAAGGACCGTTTAATTACTGAGTAATGGTTCATCATTTAGAAAGATGTCTGTCACTTGTGCTGCATCAGATGAATTAGAAACCAGAGTCTGGAGGAGGGGTGATCCATTAGGAAGTCTTTAGGAGTCTAGGCCTGAGAAGTGAAGGCTAGTGTCAAATCTAGGTTAGTAGCAAAGGTAACTGAAAAGGAGGGACGGATGAGATAGGTAAGTGACAGAGCTCTGCTTTCATACTGAGATATCAGTAATATATGAATTAGTGATTTCACCTTTGAAATTAAATTGTTGGTCATTTTGCTGCCCAGTTTTTTGCCAAGCTTTTACTGTCTTATTAATGCCTCAGCTGCTTATCTAACCAATCTTTAAGCATGTTGATATTAGTTGTCTAAACATTTCAGAGAAAAATACAAATTTTTCATAGGTCACTTAGCAGTTCGAGTTGCTAAATTCTTACTAAAGTCATGTTTGTCAGTAGTCTTACTTTTGTTTTTATTTTGTTTTCAAAGTAACCTTTATACATCTGTTTATGTATTTATGTCTGTGTGATTGTCTTAGCTGAGACTTTGTCAGACTTGATTCTACATCCTCATTTGACAGAGGGGAAACCAGACAGGGGGTGAAGGAGATTGCACAGAGCTTCACAGTTACTTTATGGCAAAGCTGGAAGAAAGAAAATATAACACGAGTTTCCAATTCTTCTGAGCCACTAGACCATATGACTAATTTAAATGTTTAAGGCTGATTTTTAAAAACCTTGACAGCTTGATTACTTAAATGTGTTCATTGCTCCTAAATTTATCAATTTTAGCATATGAGTAATGTCTTTAAAAACTGAATACAGGCATACCTCATTGCAGTTAGCAGATACAGTGTTTTTTTATAAATTGAAGGTTTGTGGCAACCCTGCATTGAGCAAGTTTATCCGCACAATTTTTCCACAACCTGTGTTCACTTCATGTCTCTGTCACATTTTGGTAATTCTCACAATATTTCAAACTCTTTCATTATTATTATTTGTTATGGTAATCTGTGATCAGTGTGTCTTTTATGTTACTGGTGTAATTGTTTTGGAGCACCACAAACCCAGCTCGTATAAGCCAGCAAACGTAATGGATAAATGTTTTGTGTAATCTGACTGCTCCACCTACCAGCTGTTCCCCTGTCTTCCTCTCCAAGGGCCTCCATATTCCCTGAGACATAACAGTATTGAAGTTAGGCCGATGAACCCTACAATGGCCTCTAAGTGTTCAAGTGAAAGGAAGAGTCGCACATCTCTCCCTTTAAATCAGAAGCTAGAAATGATAAAGCTTAGTCATTAAGTGTTGAAAGCTGAGGTAGGTCAAAAGCTAGGCCTCTTACACCAGTTAAACTAAGTTGTGAATGCAGAGGAAAAGTTTTTGAAGGAAATTAAAAGTCCTATTCCAGGAAACATAAGTGTTAAGAAAGTGAAACAGCTTTGTTGCAGATATTGAGAAAGGGTGAGTGGTCTGGATAGAAGATTAAACCATCCTTAACTTTCCCTTAAGCCAAAGCCTAATCTGGAGCAAGATCCTTAGTCTCTTCAATTCTGTGATGGCTGAAGGCTGAGAGAGGTGAGGAAGCTGCAGAAGAAAAGTTGGAAGCTAATAGGTCGGTTTACGAAGTTTAAGGAAAGAAGGTGTCTCCATAACATAAAAGTGCAAGGTGAAGCAGCAAGTGCTGATGTAGAAGCTTTAGCAACTTACTCAGAAGAGCTAAGATCATTGATGAAGGTGGCTATGCTAAACAATAGATTTTCTGTTTTCTTTTTTTTTTTTTTTAGACAGAGTCTTACTCTGTCACGCAGGCTGGAGTGCAGTGGCGTAATCTTGGCTCAGTGCAACCTCCGCCTCCCAGGTTCAAGTGATTCTTCTGCCTAGGCCTCCCCAGTGGCTGAGATTACAGGCGTGTGCCACCATGCCTGGCTAATTTTATATTTTTAGTAGAGATGGGGTTTCACTACGTTGGCCAGACTGGTCACGAACTCCTGACCTGCCTTGACCTCCCAAAGTGCTGGGATTAACAGGCATGAGCAACCATGTCTGGCCAGATTTTCAGTGCAGACGAAGATGCAACCTAGGACTTTCCTAGCTAGAGAAGAGAAGTCAATGTCTGGTGCCAAAGGACAGGCTGACTCTCTTGTTAGGGCCTAATGCAGCTGGTGACTTTAAATTGAACCAGTGCTCATTGACCACTTTGAAAATGTTAGGGCTTTTTGAAAGTATGCTAATTCTACTCTGCCTATACTCCATAAATTGAACCACAAAGCCTCAGTGACAGCACATCTGTTTACAGCATGGTTTACTGAGTATTTTTAGCCCATTGTTGAGACCAATTGCTCAGAAAAAAGATTCTTTTGAAAATATTACAGCTTATTGACAATGTGCCTGGTCACCCAAGAGCTCTGATGACAATTCATAAGAAGTTTAATGTTCTCATGCCTGCTAAAACAACATCCATTCTGCAGTCCATGAATCAAGGAGTAATTTCTCCTTTCATCTCTTATTATTTGAGAAATTTATTTCATAAGGCTATAATGCCCATAGATACTGATTTCTTTTGATGGAACTGGGCACAGTAAATTGAAAACTTTCTGGAAAAGAATCACTGTTACAATTTTTATATTCTTTATTGTTGTTGTTGTTATTTTGGAGAGATGAGGTCTCACTATGTTGCCAAGGCTGGTCTCAAATTCGTGGGCTCAAGCAATCCTCCCACCTTGGCCTCCCAAAGTGCTGGGATTACGGGTGTGAGCCACCAGGCCCAGCCATTCACTAGATTCTCTAAAGAGTATCTGGAAACCTTCTTTTCAGATCCTTGACTTCCAGATTAAGAGCCTTTCTCACTCAGAAGTCTTCCTTGATTTGTCCCTTTTTCTTTCTAGGCTCAGAGAAAGAAGTCCCACTTTGTTTTCAAACCAGATCCGTTTTGCTAGTTTGTTTGTTTTGTTTTGTTTTGAAACAGAGTCTCGCTCTGTTGCTCAGGCTGGAGTGCAGTGGCTCAGCAATCTCCGCTCACTGCAACCTCTGCCTCCTGGGTTCAAGCAATTCTCATGTCTCAGCCTCCTAGATAGCTGGGATTACAGGCACATGCCACCACAACTGGCTAACTTTTGTATTTTTAGTAAAGATGGTGTTTTGCCATGTTGACCAGGCTGGTCTTGAACTCCTGGCCTCAACTGATCCGCCTGCCTTGGCCTCCCAGAGTCCTGGGATTACAGACATGCACCCCCTCATGTGGCCCCCTTTTGCTACTTTGTGTGTTAATCCCATTTCCTTAAAAACCTTATCAATCACTAAGTATGTATTTTGTCTCTTAAATTTTTTCTCCCTAGGGTCTCTTCCTCTTTCTCTGTTGAAACTAACGCACTCAACGATCACTGCTTTTGAAAGCAGTAATTTATTTTTTAATCTTTGTTCTCACCACTATTCTACAGCATTAGACGCTGGTAACTACTTCCTTCTTGAAATGTGGTCCTTCTTCAGTAATAACTCTGTTATAAGGACTCCCTTGGTTCTCAATGACCATTTCCTACTCAGTTTTCACTGTAAGAATTCTCCAAGTGTCAGGACTGGGCGCGGTGGCTCACGCCTGTAATCCCAGCACTTTGGGAGGCCGAGGCAGGCGGATTATGAGGTCAGGAGATCAAGACCATCCTGGCTAACATGGTGAAACCCTGTTTCTACTAAAAAATACAAAAAATTAGCTGGGCATGGTGGCGGGTGCCTGTAGTCCCAGCTACTTGGGAGGCTGAGGCAGGAGAATGGCGTGAACTCGGGAGGCAGAACTTGCAGTGGGCCGAAATGGTGCCACTGCACTCCAGCCTGGGCGAAAGAGCCAGACTCTGTCTCAAAAAAAATAAAAAATAATTCTCTATGTTTGTCCTTAGTTGTTTTGTTACTGGATATATATATTCATGCCCTTGGCTATTTCATCTACAACCAGAGCCTAATTTTTTTTTTTTTTTTTTGAGACGGAGTTTCACTCTTGTTGCCCAGGCTGGAGTGCAGTGGTGCGATCTCAGCTCACCGCAGCCTCCACCTCCCGGGTTCAAGCAGTTCTCCTGCCTCAGCCTCCTGAGTAGCTGGGATTACAGGCATGCGCCACCACGCCCAGCTAATTTTGAATTTTTAGTGGAGACGGGGTTTCTCCGTGTTGGTCAGACTGGTCTCGAGCTCCCAACCTCAGGTGATCTGCCCGCCTCTGCCTCCCAAAGTGCCGGGATTACAGGCGTGAGCCACTGTGCCTGGCCAGAGCTTAATTTTTTAACCTTTATTTATTTATTTGAGACAGAGACTCACTCTGTCGCCCAGACTTAACCTTTATTTAAAAGAGCTTAGGCCAAGTACGGTAGCTCACGCCTGTAACCCCAGCACTTTGAGAGGCCGAGGCGGGCAGATCATGAGGCCAGGAGTTCAAGACCAGCCTGGCCATCATGGTGAAATCCTGTCTCTACTGAAAATACAATAATTAGGTAGTGCTCGCCTGTAGTCCCAGCTACATGGGAAGCTGAGGCAGGAGAATCACTTGAGCCTGGCAGGCAGAGAGGTTGCAGTGAACTGAGATCGTGCCATCACACTCCAGCCTGGATGACAAGAGCAAACTCTGTCACAAAAAAATAATAAAAATTTTAAAAAGGTGTCAGCTTAACCCTTAAAGAGAGCTTTCTTATGCTCTAAAGTGAGGACTTAGTGTTTAATGGGTACAGAGTTTCTTTTTGGGATAATGGAAAAGTTCTGGAAATGGATAGTGGTAATGGTTGCACAACATTGTGAATGTCCTTAATTATGCCGTGGAATTATACACTTAAAAATGGTTAAAATGATAGAATTTTATGTTGTGTATATGTTGCCACAATAACAGTAAAACCTCTCACAACTTCATATAATATTCAAAATAAAATTAAACATTTTGAAGGCCCTCGGCCTGGTGCGATGGCTCACCTGAGGTCAGGAGTTTGAGACCGGCCTGGCCAACATGGTGAAACCCTGTCTCTACTAAAAATAAAAAAATTAGCCAGGCATGGTGGTGAGCAACTGTAATGCCAGCTACTCAGGAGGCTGAGGCAGGAGAATTGCTTGAACACAGGAGGCGGAGGCTGCAGCAAGCCTAGATCGCACTATTGCACTCCAGCCTGAGCGACAAGAGCAAAACTCCATCTCAAAAATAAATAAATAAATAAAATAAAAATAAATAAAGGCCCTGTACAATCTGCTTGCTTTTAAATCATATAGTTAACATTTAACCTACATTCATTTCTCCAAACATCCCTGTGTCTCTGCCTCAGAGCTTTTGCTCAAAATATATAGTGTGCTTCTATTTTCTTGTAAGATTCAACTCCAGAGCTACTTCTATAAAACTTCTCAAGATATGGCCCATTAAAATTCATCTTTTTCTTCTCATCCCTATTAATAATTTCGACCTCGCTTATAGCAGTTAGCACATTTACCCTGTGGTATAGTTATTTGCCTGCATATGTGTATTTTTGCTTATAAGATTCCATCATTTCGTGTAGTTGACACTCAATAGATGTTGACTGAATTGAATCTGAAGTCTCTCATTTTATAGATGGGGAAATTGGAATCCAGAGAGGACACACAGTGACAGAGCCAGGACTAGTTTCAGGGTCTTCTGTCTTCTGTTTCAACAAGTTTCCGTCTGCACTAACATGGTGACATGCATCCTATGGATGCTCTCAGTCTACTGATGTTGGACAATTCAGTATTGTGGTACAGAATAAACACCAGGACCCATCTACGAGTCTTTCATCCATATAAAAAAGTACATTTGTTATTTGAAAATCTTTGTACATATGAAGATTATGATGTATTTTTATTCTGTTTTCAGCTTCATGTTTCCTGTTGCAGGTGGGATAAGACCCCCTCAAGGTATGTGAAAGTTTAAGTTTTGAACTTTTATTTTTCACTCTTGTGTTTCTGAATCTGGAATTAAATAAGTAAATAGAAAATAAGTTCTATTGCTGCTAAATAGAGTAAAATTTTCTACACTCTTAAACCTATATGACAGCTGCTCTTAAAATTTCTCAAAAATTATATAATTTTGGGAGTAATAAGGGTCACTCCTCATTTCTCCCAAACCTATATAAACATTATGTTCATAGATTGTTTAACCTCAGAGGTGAAACAGACTTTTAGGACAAGAATGTTAAGGAACAGGTGATAAAAATGAAATGAGCTGTAATTCACTTAATGATGTCTTTCTCCTTCTGTCTAGTCTTCCGCTAGATTGTTAGTGTCATGTCTGTCTAATGCTCATCTAGCATTATCTCTAGCACCCAGCATGTTGATTTAACATAATAGGTTCTCTGTAGATGTTTGTTGAATGAATAAACGAACATCTTTAGTTGTTTCACACTGCTATTTTTTCTCTATATGATAGTATTTTCTTGTAATCATGTTTTATAAACATATAATTTTGAAATTAAAAGAGATCACATACTCTGATTCAGCTTAAAGTATTTAAGTCTCAGGATTTTGTTTGGTTTTGGTTTTTTATTTTTATTTTTTTGAGATGGGGTCTTGCTCTTTCACCCAGACTGGAGTACAAGTGGCACAGTCATAGCTTACTGCATAGCCTCAGCCTCCTAGGCTCAAGCATTTCTCCCACCTCAGCTTCCCAGGTAGCTGGGACCACAGGTGCATACCACCACGCCTGGCTAATTTTTAAATATTTTGTAGAGACACGGTCTCCTTATGTTGCCCAGGCTGGTATCAAATTCCTCGGCTCAAGCGATTCTCCTGCCTTGGCCTCCCAAAGCACTGGGATTACAGGCATGAGCCCCCATGTCATATAAGTCTCAGTTCTATTCCTAGAAATTTCTGTACTAAGTATACCTCTTCTCTCTTGGTCTGAGACCAGGACCCACCAATATCAATTCTAGCTTTATCTTCAAGGAAATAGTAGTGAAGGAATATAATTTTGACCCATGCTGCCGTGCAGCTGGGACACAACAGTGAAGAAGGAATAGATTTGCCTTTCTCTGGCTTTTTTTCCACTCATTTCTCCCACTCTGATGTATTCCCTCTCCCCTCACACCAAGCTGCTTCTGAAAACTGGCTCTTCTTAAAAAGCCAGCGTTGATTGGTTGTCATAGATTTGCTGGAGAGACAGAGACTCGTAGGTCAGCAGTAGAGATAAAAGATAAAGAGCAGCTCAGTAGCAGATGGTCAGTGGCTCATCCTGACTTTGTCTTCATTTATAATCAGTGATGGCGGTTGAGTTTCAGGCAAGTTTTTCCAAGGGTCAGTTGTATTCTTTTCGTCGTGTTGACGTTTATGCATTATTTAAGCTATCTGTAATTAGATGTGTCCTAGATTGAGAACAAATGGTTTGAGATCTTTTGTTCTTTAGGGAGGTATTACAGAGTTATGTATTCATTATCATGGTTTGTTATTTTGCATTTCTATACATTTTCAAGTAAAAATATACCTATGGAGCGAAGGAACTGGACAAGAAGAGATCTCAAAGTGTTGCCTGATATTTTTTCTTAGGGAATTTGGAATTGGTTTGGAGATTTTTTTTAACAGTTGTTAGGATGAACTTTTGGATCATTTGAAGGCTTTAAATTATGCGTGCATCATTTCTGAAAACATATGTAAGAAACCGACAGCAAGGATGGCCACAAGATCGTGAGTACTTGAATAGGAGACAGAGGAGAGAAAGAGACCTATTTTTTACTGTGTACACTTTTGTGCCTTGAAATATTATGCCAGATATCTGAGTTACCCATTCAGAAATAAAATAAAATCAATTAAAATGAATAAAACTTTAAGTCCAAAGAAATAAGACAGAAAACATCTTACGGTGGCTGTTTTCAATCTGTGTATTCTAATTCTCCCTGATACCTTGTGATCTTTGTACTCGGTGTTCTTTGATCTGGAATATTCTTCCCAAATATCTGCATGTCTTGGTTCTTTATTTTCTTGAGGACCTTTCTGAAATACCACCCTGTTGGTGAAACTTTTTCTGATTGCCCTATGTAAAATAGCAACCACTCCATTCCCTCTTGCCCTGCTTTATTATTTTTTGGCCCTAGCTCTTATCACCACCTGACGTGTACTTATTTTTTTGTTGTCTGTCTCTCCTGATTACAGTGTAAGCTCCATGAGAGTGAAGACCTGGTTTTGTTCATGGCTGTGTCCCCAGAACAGTGCCTAATACGGAGTAGGCCTCAAATACTTGAATAAGTGAATGGTCTACCTCAAATAACTGTTAGCCACAATGTGGATGTCCATGCTTCTGAAATTAGGCTAGGTTATAGATAACCTGGAAGGTACACAAAAACCGTAAGATAAACATGGTATGATTTCCTAGATCTTTAATTTTTCAAATCGACAGTTTGATATAAAGTTCCTTATGGTGGAACCAACATGGATGTAGTTTGAATGCAAAATTAGAATGAAATTTGTGCTCAGGCTATGTAGGGATTTTGTTTTATTCACTTCTGTGTACCAAGCACATAGAACTATGCCTAGCATATGGTAGGCGTTTAGTATTTATTAAAATCCCAAAGAGATGTGTATTCATTCACCTCTGCTCTTGGAAAAGTTTAGGAAACACTAGCCTAAATCATACTTTCATGATAGTTTTCTGCCATTGCACATACTGATGGCTACTTTGTGGTAACTGTTATATTACCTATTCATGTAAGAAAAAGGAAGAAGAATAACATTTCTTTGAGCATAGTAAGTATTAAACAGTTTTACAAATGAGAAACCAAGGCATAGAAAGAAGCAAATTGCCCAAGGTTCCAAAGAAGTATGTGGCATTTCTAGTTGGCTCCTAGAGTTCATGCTCCTGTTATTTTGTTAGTTATCTGCTGCTGTGTAACAGATTATCCCGAACTTTAAAAAGTAAACATTTTATTATTTCATAGTGTGTCTGTGGGTCAGGAATCTCAGAGTAGCTCTGCTGGATGGTTCAGGCTCAAGACCTCTTATGAGATGGCAGTGAAGATGAGCCAGGCTTGCTGTCATCTGAAAGTTTCATGGAGCTGCTGCCAGGGTGGCTCACTGAGATAGATGGCAAATTCATGCTGCCTTTTCACAGAAGACCTCAGTACCTTACCACATGGATTCTCCATAGGTCTTATTGAGTATTTCATAACGTGGCAGTGGCTTGCTCCTGAGCGAGTGATCCAAAAGAACCAGGAGGAAACTACAGTGTCTTTTAAGAACTAGCCTCCGGGCCAGGCGCAGTGGCTCACACCTGTAATCCTAGCATTTTGAGAGGCTGAGGCGGGTGGATCACTTGAGGTCAGGAATTCAAGACCAGCCTGACCAAGACGGCGAAACCCCATCTCTACTAAAAGTACAAACATTAGCAGACACCTGTAGTCCCAGCTACTTGGGAGCCTTGAACCCCAGAAGTGGAAGTTGCAGTGAGCTGAGATCATGCCACTGCACTCCAGCCTGGGTGACAGAGTGAGACTCTGTCTCAAAAAAAATAAATAAATAACTGGCCTTCAAAGTTATATGCTGTCATTTCCACAGTATCCTATTGGTTATACTGGTCAGCCCCATTCAGTATGGAATGGAACAACACACGAGTATGAATACCAGGAGACAGAGGTCACTGGAGGCCATCTTGAAGGCTAAGTACCTCAATTAGGCCATACTGTTTTTTAGTATGCATACAAATTCCATAGAAGAGATATTATCTTCATTTTACAGATGAAGTTTTGTAACTTGTTCAAGATCACACAGCTAAGTAAATGACGGAGTTGGAATTCATATTCATATCTGTCTCACTCGACCCTGTACTTTTTCCATTACACTCTGCTTCCTGCCAAGTAACAAGTCCTTTAGGTACTTCTGGTTTTAAGAAAATAAACTTGAAAACACGTTGACTTTAATAATGTCTTTATGTTTTCAGCAGGCCTGATGCCGATGCAGCAACAAGGATTTCCTATGGTCTCTGTCATGCCGCCTAATATGCAAGGCATTATGGGAATGAATTACAGCTCTCAGATGTCCCAAGGACCTATTGCTATGCAGGTACTTGCTGCTTTAGTTGGTTTCTTACAAAGTTATTGTTTGTTGTTATGTTTATATATCAAGAGCTACAGGCTAAGAGCTTAATGTTACAATTAGAAATAAGCATAAATAAATGGCTTCCTTCAAACTAAAATGAAGATGTGTTCAACCTCCAAGAGTGAGGGAAAAGGCTAAGTGTAGTGGCTCACACCTGTAATCCCCACACTTTGGGAGGCCGAGGCGGGCAGATCACTTCAGGTCAGGAGTTCGAGACCAGGCTGGCCAACATGGCAAAGCCCCATCTCTACTAAAACTACAAAAATGACCTGGGTGTGGTGGCGTGTGCCTGTAGTCCCAGCTACTCGGGAGGCTGAGGCAGGGCAATCCCTTGAACCCGAGAGGCGGAGGTTGCAGCGAGCTGAGATCATGCTACTGTACTCCAGCCTGGGCAACGAGGGGAGACTCCCGTCTCAAAAAAAAAGGCCTGAGGAAAAAAAGGTTTTTGCTTTTGTACTATTAACCAATATCTTTAAAGCCATATACTGTATTTCTTTTTTACCTAATAATTTATTTAGTTTTGCTTTTTTCAACTTTTATTTTAGATTCAGGGGACAGTTTGTAGGTTTATTACACTAATGTGTTGTGTGATGCTGAGGGTTGGGGTATGATGGAACCGATCACCTGGGTAGTGAGCATAGTACCAAACAGGTAGTTTTCCAACTCTTCCCCCACTCTTTCTCCCCTCTTATAGTCTCCAGTCTTTATGTCGAGCCTGTCTTTATGTCCGTGTGCACCCAGTGTTTAGCTCCCACTTGTAAGTGAGAACATGTGGTATTTGGTTTTTTGTTTCTGTGTTAGTTTACTTACCTAATACTTTAACATTTTCTATTTCTGTGTGTTTTGTTATACAGTATATACTTTTATACAGTAACATATGTATATAACTTATAAATAAGTAGTATTAGGAGTTCACAACCAGAATTTTAAGTTGAAACCATTGTTGTTTTGAAGTCAATTATGCAAATAAAGCTTCTCTTTTGTGTTTAAATGGTCAGGAAAACTTCCAGTGTCATTTTTTATCCATCTCTAGAAGGAAGCAAATGGGAATACATTGAGATTTTGTAGGTTTTTAATTCACGTTAAGCTAGCTTTCACTAGGTTGTGCTGCAGAAACCGTCCCCAGATCTCCATGACTTACAAAAGTTTAGCCCTCACTTGTGATACATATCCTCATGTGTTGGTGCTGACTCTGCTCCATGTTTTCTTTATCCTAGGACCCTCAGCCAGGACATCCTAGGCTCTTGGCATAGGAAAAAGAGATGGCCAAACGCTGTGATGTCTTTTAAAGCTAACACCTGGAGGTAGCATATATTAGTCACTTCTGCTCACCAAAGTAATATGGCCTTAGCATCAGTAGAGGAGGAATATATCAGGAGGAATGTAAACCATATAGGGATATGTAGTCCTCTTAGAATAAACGCAGCAAATGGCCAGGAGCGGTGGCTCACACCTGTTATCCCAGCACTTTGGGAGGCCAAGGCAGGCAGATCACAAGGTCAGGAGATTGAGTCCAGCCTGACCAGCAGGGTGAAACCCCGTCTGTACTAAAAATACAAAAATTAGTCGGGCATGGTGGTGCGCACCTGTAGTCCAGCTACTCAGGAGGCTGAGGCAGGATAATCGCTTGAACCTGGGAGGCAGAGGTTGTAGTGAGCTGAGATCGTGCCACTGCACTCCTGCCTGGGCAACAGAGTAAGACTCCGTCTCAAAAAAAATAAAGTAAAATAAAAAAATAAGAATAAAGGCAGCAAATAACTAAAAACAATCTACTATAGAATAAATTTAAATTAAAACTTCTTTTAAATTAAAACTTCCTAAGCTTACTACTGAATCTTAATAACAATTGATACAAATTTTAAATCATTAATTTTTACACTAAACATCATTTTATGCTTACACAGTTATCTGAAAAATGTTTTTAGAGTTTGAAACAACCAAAAACAGTAAGAGTCTCTAATATGCAGAACAATAAGAAAAAAGTAAACTATGAGAGTTGATAGTGCCTTAATAATGTCCCTGAATATCAGAAGCTTGTGTATTAATGATGCTAACACAAAGCAACCAAAGTCTTTTTCTTTAACCTTTACTCTTGCTGACAGGCATTATATTGTTTGGAAGATGCTGACCCCTTTTTTTCTTTTTTTTTTTTTTGAGATGGAGTTTCACTCTTGTTGCCCAGGCTAGAGTGCAATGGTATGATCTTGGCTCACTACAACCTCCGCCTCCTGGGTTCAAGTGATTCTCCTGCCTCAGCCTCCCAAGTAACTGGGATTACAGGTGTGCGCCACCACGCCCAGCTAATTTTGTATTTTTAGTAGAGTCGGGGTTTCGCCATGTTGGCCAGGCTGGTTTCAAACCCCTGACCTCTGGTGATCCCTCTGCCGCGGCCTCCCAGAGTGCTGGTATTAAAGGTGTGTGCCACCACACCCAGTTGCTGCTCACCATTTTTTTTTTTTAGACAGAGTCTTGCTCTGTTGCCCAGGCTGGAGTGCAGGGGCGCCATCTCGGCTCACTGCAAGCTCTGCTTCCCAGGTTCACGACGTTCTCCTGCCTCAATCTCCTGAGTAGCTGGGACTACAGGCTCCCACCACCACGCCTGGCTAATTTTGTTTTTGTATTTTTAGTAGAGATGGGGTTTCACTGTGTTAGCCAGGATGGTCCCAATCTCCTGACCTCGTGATCTACCTGCCTCGGCCTCCCAAAGTGCTGGGATTACAGGCATGAGCCGTCGTGCCTGGCTTGCTCACCATTTTTTAAGGCGAAAAACACCCAGATTTTATTTGCCACCCCCTGGCCGAAACTCAATAGCCCTAACCGATCAGGGACATATATGAAGCAAACCCATTGTTCCTTTAGTTATCTCTTAGTCTCTTAAGTCTTTGGAGATAAAAGTGATGATTCAGATAAAAGTCAACATAGAAATTTAGTCTCTTTTTTTTTTTTTTTTTTTTTTGAGACAGTATCTGGCTCTGTTGCTCAGGCTGGAGTGCAGTGGTGCAATCTCAGCTCACTGCAACCTCTGCCTCCTGGGTTCAAGCGATTCTCCTGCCTCAGCTTCCCAAGCAGCTGGGATTACAGGCGCACGCCACCACATCTGACTAATTTTTGTATTTTTAGTAGAGACAGGATTTTGTAGTGTTGGCCAGGCTGGTCTTGAACTCTTGACCTCAAGTGATCCACCCGCTTTGGCCTCCCAAAGTGCTGGGATTACAGGCGTGAGCCATTGTGCTGGCCAGAAATTTAGTCTTGATGATTATTATTATATTATTATTGATAATTATAATATCTTGCTTCCTCAAAACACATAAAAAGAAAACCCTCCTCATGATGTACAATACATTTTAAAATTATTATTCTGAAGCATTTCAAACATCTAGACAAGTGTAGAGCACATGATGGACATGTGTAAACCTGTTGCAAACTGTTGTGTAATTCTAAGAAATAATAGAAATCCTTTGCCCAGTTCCCCTATTGGTAAAACTTGTAGAACTATAGTAACACAATCAGCGTATGGACATTGGCACAGCTGAGATACAGAACATTTCCATCTCCCCAGGGATCTCCTCACGTTGCCCTTTTGTAGCTGTACTCACTTCCTTCCTGCCCCACCTTACTCCTTTTGCATTCGCTAGTGAGTTCCCCATTTCTATAATTTTGTAGTTTCAAAAATGTTATATAAATTGAATCATTAACCTTTTGGATTTGGCGTTTGTCGCTTAGCATAATCCCTTCAGATTCATCCAAGTTGTTGCATGTATCAGTAGTTCATTTTTTTAAAATTGATGAGTAATAGTTCATGGTGTGGATGTATGACTGTTTAACCGTTTGCTCACTGAAGGACATCAGGGTGGTTTACAGTTTTTGGCTATTACAAATAAAGGTTTTTGCGTGAACATAAGTCCTCATTTCTTGGGATAAATGCCCAAGAGTACAATTGCTAAGTTGCATGTATTGCATTTTTGGTTTTTTAAGATGCTGCCAAACTTTTTTCCAGAGTAGCTGTAATATTTTACATTCCTACCAGCAGTGTATCAGAGGTTCAGTTATACTACATCCTTACCTGCATTTAGTGTCATTATTTTTTGTTTAGCCATTCTGACAGGTATGTTTAATATCTCATGGTTTTAATTTGCATGGTTTTAATGTGCAGATGATGTTGAACATCTTTTCATGTGTTTACCATCATTACATTTTCTTCAGAGAAATGTCTTTTCATAGCTTCTGACCATTTTCTAATTGCATTTTTTGGTATTTTGCTATTGAATTTTGAAAGTCCTTTTTTTTTTTTTTTTTTTTTTTTTTTTTTTTTTTTTTTTTTTTTTTTGAGGTGGAGTCTGGCTCTGTCGCCCAGGCTGGAGTGCAGTGGCCGGATCTCAGCTCACTGCAAGCTCCGCCTCCCGGGTTTACGCCATTCTCCTGCCTCAGCCTCCCGAGTAGCGGGGACTACAGGCGCCTGCCACCTCGCCTGGCTAGTTTTTTTGTAGTTTTTAGTAGAGACGGGGTTTCACCGTGTTCGCCAGGATGGTCTCGATCTTCTGACCTCGTGATCCGCCCGTCTCGGCCTCCCAAAGTGCTGGGATTACAGGCTTGAGCCACCGCGCCCGGCCTTTGAGAGTTCTTTATATCTTTTAGGTAGTAGTCCTTTGTCAGATATGTGGTTTACTAGTGTTTTCTTTTTGTCTTTAGCTTGTCTTTTCACCTTCTTAATGGGGTCTTTCACAGAGCAAAAATTCAATTTTGATGAAATTCAATTTACCAGTTTTTCCTGTTATGGATCATGCATTGGTATAACTCTAAGAGTTCATTGCCTTGCCCTAGATTCTGTAGATTTTCTCCTATGTTTTTTTCTAAAAGTTTTATGGTTTTCATTTAAGTCCATGATCCATTTTGAGTTAATTTTTGTATAAGATCTAAGACTTAGATTGAGGTTGTTTTTTATCTCTCTCTCTGTATCTATGTAAGTCTGATCGCCCCAGCAACATTTGTGGAAAAAGCTATTCTGCTTCCATTGAAATGCTTTCACATTTTTGTCAAAAATCAGTTGGGCATGCTTGTATGTATCTTTCTCTAGGTTCTCTGTTCTGTGCTGTTGTTTTATGTATATGCCTGTTCCTTCACCGATAACACAGTCTTTGTGATGGTAGCTATACGATAAGGTTGAGTCTTCCTATGTTATTCTTCTTTCCAGAATTTAACTATTCTGGTTTCTCTGTCTTTCCATATTAATTTTGGGATAATCTTGTTTATCTCTGGAAAAACTCTTGCTGGAGTTTGGATAGGCATTGTGTTAAACCTCTGTATGAATTTAGGGAGAATTGATGTCTTTGAGAATTGACGTCTTCCATCATAACAGTATGGGATGTCTCTTCATTTGTTTAGATCTTTGGTTTCTTCTATCAGCATTTATATAGTTTTCAGCATAAAAGTCACATCCGTGTTTGGTTAGATTTACATCTAAATATTTTGGTTTTTTGAGGAATTATGAATGGCGTTTTTTAATGTCAGTGTTCACGTATTCATTGGTAGTGTATAGAAATGCAGTTGATTGTATATGTTTGTTTTATATCCTTCAACCTTACTGAACTCATTTTATTAGCTCTGGGAATTTTTTTGTGGATTCCATGGGATTTTTTATATAGGTAGTCAGGTCCTACCTTTATCAAATTTTAACATGCCACATTTGCTTTACATTTTTTTAAAGAATTCAAAAATACTTTCCTTCCTCTCCTTCCCCAGAGGTTGTTATCACTATCATGAATTCAGTGTTTATGGTTCTTGTATATATTTTTATACTACTTTGTCAGCCAGGCTGGAGTGCAGTGGCGCGATCTCGACTCACTGCAACCTCCACCTCCTGTGTTCAAGCAATTCTCCTGCCTCAGCATCCCTAGTACCAGGGATTACAGGTGCCCACCACCTCACCTGGCTAGTTTCTGTATTTTAGTAGAGATGGAGTTTCACCATGTTGACCAGACTGGTCTCAAACTCCTGACCTCAAGCAATCTACCCACCTCCACCTCCCAAAGTGCTGAGATTACAGGCATGAGCCACTGTGCCTGGCCGTAATTTTATACTTTTATTATTTTATATATTTGTATACTTACGAGCAATATATAATATTTTCTAGGTTTTAAATCTTACATATGTACCCTTCAACATCTTAACTTTTTAATTTAACATTGTTTGCCCCCAAGACTTATCCCTGTTGTAAAATTATGCCAAGTTCATTCATAGTAGCTGCTGTGTGGTATTTCATTGAGTGAATATATGTTGTTCTATTAACAGACATTTAAATTGCTTCTAATGTTTTGCTGTTTTGAGCTCATTGATTTCTGAGTGTTCATTATATATTCTGGATTCTAATCCTTTGTAGTTACATCTGTTGCCAGTATCTTCTCCTAGTCGTTGACCTCTCTTAATTTTGTTTATAGTATCTTGTTGTGTAGAAATTAAGTCAGATAGATAAATCATTTTTTTTTTCTGTCTTATCTAAGACATTCTTCCCTACCTGTGTCTTCTTATTTAAAAAAAGTTAAGTTTCTTGTCTTTCTTGTCTTTTTTTTTTTTGAGACAGAGTCTCGCCCTGTCGCCCAGGCTGGAGTGTGGCGCAATCTTGGCTCACTGCAACTGCTGCCTCCTGGGCTCAAGCAATTCACCTTCCTTAGTCTCCAGAGTGACTGCAACTACAGGCATGCACCACCACGCCTGACTAATTTTGTATTTTTAGTAGAGATGGGATTTTACCATGTTGTCCAGGCTGGTCTGGAACACCTGGCCTCAAGTGATCTGCCTGCCTCCCAAAGTGCTGGGATTACAGGGTGTGAGTCAATGCGCCCAGTCTGTCTTTTCAGATTAAGTCTCTAACCTACCTAGAATTGTTCTTTAGAATCAGCGTGAGGTAGAAGGATGTAATTTTATTATGTTCCGTTGTAGTCGGTTGTTCCCAAATCATTTATAAATAGCCCGTTTTTTATTTATTGATTTCTATGATTATTCCTGTAATATTACACTTCTTTATGTGCTTTGGATTAATTTCTAGGCTCATGTATTTGTCTCATTGCTGCATCTGTCTTTCCTTGCATCAGTAAATATCTTATGCCTTAATTATCTAGCCTGAGATAAGCATTGATATCTGGTAGTATGGATCATCCTTCTTCTTTTACAGAGTTATAACTGATTCATGGTCCTTCGCCCTTCAGTATAATTTTAAGATCAACTTGCCAAAACAAAACTGTTGGGGTTCTAACTGAAATGGACACTTTTACTCTTTTGGTCTTAACTGTCATACTATACTTCTCAACTTATTGAAATCTTAAGTGCTATCAGTAGTTTATCAAATGTATCTCAGATTTCTGAGTTCTTTCTTTTGTTATGTCATCCATTCAGTATTTAATTAAAGACTAGTATCTCTTAACTTTTTAGTTTATTTAGATTTCAAAAGTCTGTAAAAACTTAGACAGTCCCTCCTTTCCAGGTGTAGGGGAAACACAAAATGCCGTTTAGTAAATTTGAATGTTCTTCAAGAGAGGAGTTTGTAAGTAAGAAGGCAATATGCATGACACCTTTCTTTCTTTCATTATTATTTTTGTTGAACACTTTGCCTTATTTTTCATCTCTGATTTGGGTAGTTTCTTTTGTATTTTATATACTTTGGGTGAACTGAGTAAAAAAAAAAAAGAAAAATTTAATTCTAGGACTGTGATCCTAATTTTTAGCAGCAAGAGAGCAATACTGTGATTTAAAATAAGTGTACACAGCTATCTCCACCCAAGATTTAGAATAGAGAATGTTAGCAATAAAGCAATATTGTGTGTAACTCCAGTTGTAGAGTGCTAGAAACCCTTCAAAAGCATTCCAAGCTGGCCGGGCATCGTGGCTCATGCCTGTAATTCTTGCCCTTTGGGAGGCCAAGGTGGGTGGATCACTTGAGGTCAGGAGTTTGAGACCAGCCTAGCCAACCTGGTGAAACCACATCAGTACTGAAAATACAAAAATTAGCTGGGCGTGGTGGCACATGCCTGTAGTCTTAGCTACTTTGGAGGCTGAGGTGGGAGAATCACTTTAGCCTGGGAGGTGGAGGTTGCAGTGAGCTGAGATTGCACTACTGCATCCTAACTTGGGTGACAGAGTGAGACCCTGTCTCTAAATAAATAAATAAATAAATAGAATTTAATGTGAATCCTCAATGTTTTTCTCTCTGGCATGGTTCAGTGGTTTTTGTATAAGCATGGAGAAGTTGATTAGTTGATTCTGATCAGAGGTGAAGTTTACCAGAAGACCATGTTAAGGAATTGACAGTTAAGGGCATTAAGGATATCAACAAGGGCATTTACTATTGAACCCTAGAATCTAAATTGAGCAGGAAGGGAAGTGAGGATATAATGAAGATGATTAATCATGAGAAATGTGACAAATTAACAGGTGGAACCTACAAAATAAGTTCAGGGAAAAAAATATAAATTAACAGGTGGGAGATATTAATGAGATAGGAGAATTACTGGTCTAGATGAGCTAGAAGGATCAGAAGTGGTGGTCAAGTGTCAGGATGCCTAACATCCAGATTTTGGACATGACACAGTCTTTGGTGCAGATAGATCACGGGTATTACCATGGAATGGGAAGCTGGAATTGTATGTTGGGCATGATTGTTATGAGGAGGCTAAAGACCTAGAAGACCACAGTGTTAGGTGAGTGATCCGTGTCGGTGATTGTTGACGTTACCAACAGCAGTTGGGAGATAGAATGGAAGATAGCAAAGTCTAAAGTGTACAACTGAAGAGTGAGGAAGTTGAGGGTCAGTAGATGACGTGAACAAGATCGGAGAGTAAATGATGAAGTCTATTAGTGAGAAATTAAAATGTATTCAGGTTTTTGAAGGTAGAGAGAGGAGAAAAGGTTTAGAAGAAGCAAGGAAGAATATTCCCCACTTACAGGAAATAGAAAAGTAGCAGTCTCCAAAATGAGAGTGTTTCACGGACAGACTTTAGTTAGGGACAGAAGGGGAACTTTTCAGGGAGAAGGTTGAGTAGTAGAAGTTTTCACTCACTAAAAATTAGCCATTTAACTATTATCATTGTCATCATTCTTAATATTAGATTTCGAACCAGATGCGATGGCACATGCCTGTAGTCCTAGCTACTCTGGGGCTGAGGTGGGAGGATCTCTTGAGCTCAAGAGTTGGAGGCTGCCGTGAGCTGTGATTACACCATTGCACTCCAGCCTGGGTGACACAACGAGACCGTGTCTCTAAAAACATAATATTATTAAATTTTGTGATTAGCTGTTGTGTTATTCTTATTTCTGGACACTTTAAGAAACTTTATAATATTGTATTATGTCATTTTTATTGAATATGTTTCTTTCATTTTCTATAAAAGTTTGACTATTAGGCCTTTGATAACATCAAAATATTCATTATCCTCTCATATATATTGGAAAATCAGATTTAATTTCATTTGTGGTATGTTTACCGTATGCCAGCCTCTTACCTATTATTGCAAATATGAAAATATGTAAGATATAGTGCCTCTTCTCAAAGAGGATTAGTGAGCTCACAAGAATGTAATTTGTGGGCATATACTTCCATACTCACACACCAATCAGACTATTAGCAGCAGTCACCTCTGGGACAGTGAAGGGAATGGAGGGCTAGATATTAAGGGGAGCCTTCCATTTTTAGCATCTTTTAATATAATATGTTTATTTGCATATTTGCATCTTATTTGCATCTCTGCATCTTTTAATACAATATATTTCTATTTTTTACAAATAAAAATATTAAGATAGAATTTTTGAAAGTCACATTTTTGTGTATGATAATTAAAGGGAGAAATTGTGTTTTCTAAGCCTTTGTCTGTTTCTTCTAGGCAGGAATACCAATGGGACCAATGCCAGCAGCGGGAATGCCTTACCTAGGACAAGCACCCTTCCTGGGCATGCGTCCTCCAGGCCCACAGTACACTCCAGACATGCAGAAGCAGTTTGCCGAAGAGCAGCAGTAAGAGATCACCAAAATTAAAGGATAACAAAGATACATTATAGCATCTATCTTAAGAATTGTCTAATAATCTCTAGTGCAGATTTGAAACTAAAACAGTCAAAAGTTGTCTTTAAAACTCTTGGCCGGGCATGGTGGCTTATGCCTGTAATCTCAGCACTTTGGGAGGCCGAAGTGGGCAGATCATGAGGTCAGGAGGTCGAGACCATCCTGGCTAACACGGTGAAACCCCGTCTCTACTAAAAAATACAAAAAATTAGCCGGGCGTGGTGGTGGGCGCCTATAGTCCCAGCTACTCGGGAGGCTGAGGCAGGAGAATGGCTTGAACCTGGGAGGTGGAGCTTGTAGTGAGCCGAGATGAGCCACTGCACTCCAGCCTGGGCGACAGAGCAAGACTCTGTCTCAAAAAAAAAGAAAAAAACTCTTAAGGCCTGGCCCAGTGGCTCATGCCTATAATCCCAGCACTTTGGGAGGCTGAGGCGGGCAGATTGCTTGAACCCAGGAGTTTGAGACCAGCCTGAGCAACATGGTGAAACCCTGTCTCTACAAAAAATACAAAATATTAGGTAGGCTTGGTGGCTCATGCCTGTAGTCCCAGCTGCTCAGGAGGCTGAGGTGGAAGGATCACCTGGGCCCTGAGATTGAGGCTGCAGTCAGCCATGACCATGCCACTGTACTCCAGCTTGGGTAACAGAGTGAGACCCTATTTAAAAACAAAAACACAAAAGCCTCTTTAAAATACCATTATTACAAGTTTAGAGTCAAAAAGGACCTTAGAGATCCTCTAATTCAACCCTGTTGTTTTATATCTAGTGAAAGTGAAATCCAGGAAAATGAAACAACTTGTCAGTCCAGGTAACACAGTTACCAGCAAAGCCTGAACCCAAAGTCAGGCCTCCTGATTCCCAGATCATTACTCTCTCTCCTGTATGACACTGCCTTCCCAAGCAGGTTCTTGTTTAATGTGCAGAGCAAAGTGTGTTCTTACGTTTGTCTGCCTGTTTTTTGAGAACACTTTTGTATGCAAAAGCTTGTTTCCTCCTCTTGCAAATTAGATGAGAAATAAATTCATATTCATAATTTAGATAAATCATTATTTAGACTCATGTCAAATATTTTGGAATTAATGTAGTGAGGAAACAGGGTTGTCATAAGAAAACTAGATACTTAGCAATGAAATTTACACTTCTAGAAGTGCAACATGATATTGCTGAAACTGTTAGAAATCTGAATATAAAACACAGTGTATAATCCTGGGAGCTTGTTTTTTATTAGGTCATTTTTCCTTCAGGAAACGATTTGAACAGCAGCAAAAACTCTTAGAAGAAGAAAGAAAAAGACGCCAGTTTGAAGAGCAGAAGCAAAAACTCAGACTTTTGAGTAGTGTGAAACCCAAGGTAATACTTCAATACTTCTCTTCACCCAGAACATACACGCCCTGAATGTGCTTCTTCCCACTCATTGAGTGGATGTCGTCACTGGGGCACCAGCGCAAGCTGAGACTGATTGACTCTTCTCATTTTGGTTTATCTAATTCCTAATATGAAGGATTTTTCATTTTCTGTGAAGATACACTGTTATTGATGAGAATAGGGTATCAGCCATTATCTTCTCAACTCTTTTTTAGTATCATGGCAATATTTGTAATCTTTTTCTTGGAAAGCAGTAATCCTGAATTCAGTGATATTTCATATTTCTCTTAGAGCCTTCACAGGACACTTAATATCAAACAGGTCTATCCTGAAGTATTTATACATTGGCCTTGTAATGTTTTTATTTTCTGTAGAGTGTCATTGTTTAATCATTTACCTATTTTTCTGACTTGGAGAATTCATCATCAGAAGTATGTGGTAAAAATATTGGAAGTAGATGAGTATCTGTGCTTTTCTTAATTTGGGAGGGTTTAGGATAGAATGAGGGATAAGTAAAGAAATATACATATATTTGTTGTTTCTTAGACAGGAGAGAAGAGTAGAGATGATGCTTTGGAAGCCATAAAAGGAAATTTAGATGGGTTTTCCAGAGATGCAAAAATGCACCCTACTCCAGCATCGCACCCCAAGAAACCAGGTAGTTTTAAGAGGCATTACATTTTTCTTTTCTTGGAGGGTGATTTATGTAGTCCCTGTTTCTTTACCTCGCCATTATATGTGTGTGTGAAAAGTCAATGCAGAACTCTTCGTTCAAGCTAAGTACAGATTTGGATGTTCTGAAATGTGCAGTGGCTTAAGAGCTGTAGTCTGGATAACAACTGTCTTGGGAGGGAAAAAAACCTCTTTGTCTTCTAATTAAATGTCAGTATGACAATTTCACCTGTAAGTTTTCTGTATATAAATATATTAACATTAGTAAAATCTGTTCAATCAGAGCAAATGTAATAAATGAGTTTACCATTTAATTCTCATTGTTTTATAGTAATTTTATGAACTAGTTTTGATTTCATTACTTAATGTGATTAAACTTATAAATTCTTAACATGACTCGTTTCTAAAAATCATGGGTGTAATAATGCTCTTCTTGAAATGTTAGTTTCTCTAATGCATTTCTTTGTAATTTTTATCATCATTTATTGTCAGGTAAGCAAAAAGAAATGTACCTGTTTTAGAAAGCAGGGTAAAGGGATTGGGGGGTGGCGTTTGGTTGTTCTTTTGAACATTTGGCAGTTCAAATGAGTCTTGTATTTGCATAATTGTTACCGCATTGTTTTTAAAAATTCAACATTTCAAGTCGGGCGCTGTGGCTCAAGCGTGTAATCCCAGCACTTTGGGAGACTGAGGCGGGTGGGATCACTTGAGGTCAGGAGTTTTAAGACCAGCCTGGCCAACATGGTGAAACCCTGTCTCTACTAAAAATACAAAAATAGGCCAGGCGCGGTGGCTCAAGCCTGTAATCCCAGCACTTTGGGAGGCCAAGATGGGCGGATCACGAGATCAGGAGATCGAGACCATCCTGGTTAACATGGTGAAACACCATCTCTACTAAAAAATACAAAAAACTAGCTGGGCGAGGTGGCGGGCGCCTGTAGTCGCAGCTACTCGGGAGGCTGAGGCAGGAGAATGGCGTAAACCCAGGAGGCGGAGCTTGCAGTGAGCTGAGATCTGGCCACTGCACTCCAGCCTGGGCGACAAAGTGAGACTCCGTCTCAAAAAAAAAAAAAAAAAAATTAGCTGGGCATGGTGGTGCGTGCCTGTATTCCCAGCTATTCGGGAAGCTGAGGCAGGAGAATCACTTGAACCCGGGAGGCGGAGGTTACAATGAGCCGAGATCATGCCACTGCCCACTCCAGCTTGGGCGTCAGAGGAAGACTCCATTGCAAAAATTCAAAGTTTTGACATTTTATCAGCTGATTTCAAGAAAACATACCTAATAGGTGAACAGTTTTCATAAATCATTTAGCCAGCCAAGAAAGTACTACCTTCTGCTGGAAAATGTTACATTGATAAATTTTATCTTGAACTCTTGTATTATAGTACCTTTCATGGTTGATATCAAGAAGGAATAATCACAGGCATAGTAACCAGTTCTTGATTTTCCGGGACAACTTTTACTCTGTTCCGTTAATTTCACTTGATTCCCATTCCAAAAGTATGCCCCAAAATAAAATATACAAGATTGAAAAGAAAATAGATATTAGCAATCAGGCTGAGATTAGAAAGGAAAAATATACCTAAAAATGAAAATTATAAGTTGAATAAGCTAGTCAAGGAGTAATTTAAGAATATATATTGGAAGTTAATACTAAAACTGGACGTAGGCTGGAGGTTAGGAAAAGGAGAGAAAGGCAGTCAGGAGTTCAAGACCAGCCTGGCCAACATGGTGAAACCCCATCTCTACTAAAAATACAAAAAATTAATTGGGCGTGGTGGCACATGCCTATAATCCCAGTCACTTGGTAGGCCGAGGCAGGAGAATAGCTTGAATCTGGGAGATAGAGGCTGCAGTGAGTCAAGACTGCGCCTCTGCACTCCAGCCTGGACGACAGAGTGAGACTCCATCTGAAAAAAACAAAAAACCAAAAACCTAGTCGTAAAGTATTTATAAAAAGAGTATCCAGCCATTCTACCACCAAAGGCACCTTTTAAATTTCTCTTTATAGATTGTTTATCTAAAATACTGAATACTGAATATACAAACTATATTGATCATATAAATTTTTTTTTTTGAGACAGGGTCTCACTCTATTGCCCAGGCTGGAGTGCAGGGACATGATCACAGCTCACTGCAGCCATGACCTCCCAGGCTCAGACAATCCTCCCACTTCAACCTCACGAGTAACTGGGACCACAGATGCACACCACCACACCTAGCTAATTTTTGTATTTTTTGTAGAGACGAGATTTCACCATGTTGTCCAGGCTGGTCTCAAACTCCTGGGCTCAAGCAGTCCACCTGCTTTAGCTTTCCAAAGTGCTAGGATTACAGGTGTGAGCAGCTGTGCCTGGCCCATCATATAACTTTTATACTTCTTTTTAATCATACACATTAGCTGCTAGAGTTGGTATGGGCCAAAATACATTCCACATAGAATTCACACGTTCTAGCCAAATGCAAAGAAACATTGGTTTGGTCATTATAGTATCTCCCAAGTAAATAGTCAGGGTCCATTTAAAAAATATTTTCAGTAGCTGGGAACCCAAATTGAGAACCTAATTGTTGGGAGGCTTGGAATATAATGTGGGAGGGCTTTTTCTTTTTAAAACAAACTTACTTAAGGCAATAATTTTGCATATTTTGCATCTTCTTAGAACTTTCAGTGCATCCAGGTTTTATTTCATTGATCCTAGAGAGAGGAAAGAAGTATGCAGGGTCTCCATTTTTCAAATGAGAGTCATTTCTTAAAAAAAAAGACTATTCCTAAGCTTCAAGTCAGTGAAGAAAAAAAGACTACTTATTGTGGCAATAGACTTTAGTCATATTAAAGCAATTCAAAGTAATTTAAAATGTGGGGAGGCTGGGTGCAGTGGCTCACACCTGTAATCCCAGCACTTTGGGAGGCCGAGGTGGACAGATCACCTGAGGTCAGGAGTTCGAGACCAGCCTGACCAGTCTGGAAAAACTCCATCTCTACTAAAAATACAAAATTAGCCAGGTGTGGTGGCATATGCCTGTAATCCCAGTTATTCAGGAGGCTGAGGCAGGAGAATCTCTTGAACCCAGGAGGTGGAGGTTGCTGTGAGCGGAGATCACGCCATTGCACCCCAGCCTGGGCAACAGAGCGAGACTCTGTCTCAGAAAAAAAAAAAAGAAAAAAAAATGTGGGGCCAGGCGTGGTGGTACACACCTGTAATCCAGCTACTTGGGAGGCTGAGGCAGAAGAATTGCTTGAACCTGGGAGACAGAGACTGCAGTGAGCTGAGATTGCGCCACTGCACTCCAGCCTGGGCGACAGAGCTAGACTCCATCTCAGAAAAACAAAAATGAAAACAAAACAAAGAAGGTCAGACGTGGTGGCTCACATCTGTAACCCCAAAACTTTGGGAGACCAAGACGGGCAGATCATGTGAATTGAGGAGTTCGAGACCAGCCTGGCCAATATGGTGAAACCCTGTCTCTACTAAAAATACAAAAATTAGCCAGGCGTGGTGGTGGGCGCCTGTAGTCCCAGCTACTTGCGAGGCTGAGGCACGAGAATGGCTTGAACCTGGGAGGCAGAGGTTGCAGTGAGCTGAGATCATGCCACCGTACTCTAGCCTGGTTGACAGAGGGAGACCCAGTCTCAAATAATAATAATAGTAGTAGTAGTAACAATAATATATGTAAAGATGCAACAATAAAATAGTATTGTTAAAGAGCTTCATGTTAAATGTAGCCCCAGTCGAGCAGGTTCATTACATAAGTGAATTTTACATTTAATAATAAAAAGCCACAGTGACATTTGTATCCTTTAGTGCCAAAAATCTTTTAAAGGTAGTCGTAGTCTTCAGGCAGGGTTTACTTTCTTAAATTGACTGTTATTGTTTGATTCAGCACTTTATATATCCTAATGTTGATGCTTTTCACAAGAAAATATCACCTTAATAATGTGTTTAATATTCTTGTCTTGGCCAGGCATGGTGGCTCGGCCTGTAATCCCAGTGCTTTGGGAGGCCAAGGTGGGTGGATCACCTTAGGTCAGGAGTTCAAGACCAGCCTGGCCAGTATGGTGAAATCCCTGTCTCTACTAAAAATACAAAAATTGGGCTGGGTGCGGTGGCTCACACCTGTAATCCCAGCACTTTGGGTGGTGGAGGCGGGCAGATCACAAGGTCAGGAGTTTGAGACCAGCCTGGCCAATGTGGTGAAACCCCATCTCTACTGAAAATACAAAAATTAGCCGGGCGTGGTGGTTGCTACTTGGGAGGCTGAGGCAGAAGAATTGCTTGAACCCAGGAGGCGGAGGTTGTCGTGAGCCGAGATCACGCCATTGCACTCCAGTCTGGGCGACAGAGCAACAGTCTGGGTGACAGAGCAAGATTCCATCTCACACACACACACACGCACACACACACAAACACAAATACAAAAATTAACTGGGCATGGTGGCGCGTACCTGTAGTCCCAGCTGCTCAAGAGGCTAAGGCAGAAAAATTTCTTGAACCTGGGGAACAAAGCAGAGGTTGCAGTGAGCTGAGCTCATGCCATTGCACTCTAGCCTGGGCATCATAGAGAGATTCTATCTCAAAAAAAAAAAAACAAGTTCTTTTGTAATTTTTATTCCTCATATGGTAACTTTACTGAAATATGATCTATGCAAGTGTGTGGATCAAGCATGATATTTCAAAAATTACAAGTTTGTATTGTGCATTATTTCTTACTGAATTTCTTAATAAATAATGAAATTTAGTCATCATGGTATATATCTGTCCAAAATGTATTCAGCACTATATAGGTAGGTTTTCTTACATCTGATGTGTATTGGTTTGAGATAATATTATCTAGATAAACAGATCATTTTGACTTCAAAAATAATCATCACTTTGATGTAAAGCATCAATGGTCTCAGGGGAAAAATTATTAATCTAATGAAAGAAAGAAAGACTGTCAAGGCCAGGAGCTCGAGACCAGCGTGGGCAACATAGTGAGACACCATCTCTATGAAAAAAAAAAGAAAGGAAGAATTAGCTGGGTATGCTGGCATGTACCTATATTCCTAGCTACTCAGGAGGCTGAGGCTGGAGGATCGCTTGAGCCCAGGAGTTTGAGGCTGCTATGATCATGAGCTGTGAGCATGCCACAGCACTCTGGCCTAGGTCCTGTCTCTAAAATAAATCAATAGATACATACATTTTTAGTTTTGCCTTTTTTGAACCAAATGCAAAATAGCTATTAAAATTCCCCTTTAGAAAGACATAAAATTGTGTATAAATAGACATCAAAGTGTTTTACATGCATCATATAATTCCATTTGACTATTGTTACTTGTTATTTCTTGTTCATCTCTCTATTTATGTTTCAATATATTCTTTTGGAATTGTACTACATCTTAATTCCTTTTTCTCTGTTGGTTTCCATTTTTGTGTGTTTCATTGCCATTTTCCATTTTGCAGATTGCCCCACATCATCTCATTCTACTAAAACTGTCTCCCCATCACCTGCCTTTCTTGATGAAGAAGAATTCAGTGACTTTATGCAGGGACCTGTTGAAGTTCCCCCATGTGGGCCTTCTTCCACGTCCCAACCCTTTCAGTCTTTCCACCCCTCTACCCCACTTGTCCAGTTGCATACACAGAAGGCTGGGACACAGCCTCTCCCTCCAGGTCAGAGTCCAGTGCCTTTTGCCTTACATGGTGTCCCTGGGCAAATTCCTTACTTCTCTACTGCTTCAGCCTCACACAGTGTACCAAAAGCAGGTAACTCTTAGCATTATTAATGAAAATATTCTTAAGATATCCTGGGATAACTTATTTTTGTTATATAAGTAGAATAATCCAGTGATGTTGGCAAATAAACATGTACATGAATGTATGACTGCTGTTGAAATTCAACAAACAAGTGTTCTAGATTTTTAAGTTCTGGGGTCTTCACATTCCGGAAAGGTGATTTAAAAGTTTTGCTTCGCAAGTAGGAGCACTTTAAACTGCCTTATAACTTTAAAAGAAATCTTCTGATTTTTCTGGAAGATTGTTGTTTGGGAGATTCACCAATATCATTTTCTTAAGAATAAGGAGCTAGGAAAGGCTTCTTTAGAAAGTACTCTTTCAGCTTCAGTGACAGGGCACTTGGGGGCAGAAGCCCGGGTTGTTCATTTACTATCAGTTTGTCCTTGATGTGCCTTAGATTTTGTCATCTGTAAAATGAATGGAGACAGCTACACATCCTGGCTTGAGACAGGGTGCTGGGAGGGATCTTGGCAGACATGTACTCAGTCCAGACTTTCTCATTTGATGGATGTGAAAACAGACCAAGAGGTGATGATGATGTCACTGGCCAGAGGCCTCCCTAGGAGTTAGTGAAAGTGTTATCTTATGTAGGTTGTCAGATTTCAAAGGTAGTGCTCCTTCTTCCACTATACTCTTCCACCTACTGTCTCGTAGAATTCTTTAGAATCACAGTAGATAATTATGTTTACATTCTCTAAAATCTCTAATAGTCTCTCAAGTCCTATACAAATGTGCAATAATTGAATTATTTCAACGTTTACATTTTTTTATTTTTTGAGACAGTCTTGCAGTATCGCCCAGGCTGGAGTGCAATGGCGTGAGCTCACTGCAACCTCCGCCTCCTGGGTTCAAGTGATTCTCCTGCCTCAGCCTCCCGAGTAGCTGAGATTACAGGCACCTGCCACCATGCCTGGCTAATTTTTTGTATTTTTAGTAGAGGTGGGGTTTCACTATATTGGTCAGGCTGGTGTTAAACTTCTGACCTTGTGATCTGCCTGCCTTGGCCTCCCAAAGTGCTCGGATTGCAGGCTTGAGCCACGGCGCCTAGCCACAGTGTTTACATTATATGTGACAGGGCCTCCCTTTAGAATATGGAGGTGAGCTGGGCACCGTGGCTCACGTCTGTAATCCCAGCACTTTGGAAGGCTGAGGTGGGTAGGTCACCTGAGGTCAGGAGTTCGAGACCAGCCTGGCCAACATGACGAAACCCCGTCTCTACTAAAAATACAAAAATTAGCTGGGCTTGGTGGTGGGTGCCTATAATCTTAGCTACTCAGTAGGCTGAGGCGGGAGAATCGCTTGAACCTGGGAGGCAGAAGTTGCAGTGAGCTGAGATCGTGCCAGTACACTATAGCCTGGGCGACAGAGTGAGACTCTGTCTCAAAAAAAAAAAAAAAAAAAAAAAAAAAGAATATGGGGATGGAGATGAATGATTGAAAAGATTAGACATATACACATATACAGTTATATACAAATAATCCTTCATGCTGTTTGTTTAGGCCCTTCCTTGGAGGAGAAGTTCCTAGTATCTTGTGATATAAGTACATCTGGGCAGGAACAAATTAAATTAAATACTTCTGAAGTTGGCCACAAAGCCCTAGGCCCAGGTTCCAGTAAGAGCCATCCCAGTGTAACGGCCAGTAACGGGGGTGCTGTAGATGGATGTGTAAGTGGTACCACCACTGCAGAGGCAGAAAAGACTTCAGATCAAAACCTGTCAATTGAAGAGAGTGGTGAGCTCGTGAAACATTCAGCAAAAAACTTGTTTAACCAAACGTTGCTCAAATGCTAACACCTTAAGCATTAATCTTCAAATGAATGCTGCTTGATTTTGCTAATCGAAATTTTGCTTGAAATATATTTAATGCATTCCTTTCTCCAATTAACCCCTAAGATTTTGCTCTGAATTCTTTCAACACACTGTTACTCGTTTTTTAAAATGATTTTGATAACTGGTTTTCTTAATTGGAATCATTTCTGATTTAAAATTTTATTTCCTTTTATTTTATAAAAACTCTCTTTTTTTCCACTTATACTTTGTCTTCTTCCATAAAGGTTGAAAAGTTAAAATGTAACTGGAAAAGTCACCAATGAGAATATAATCTTGCTTTGTCTACAATAAATCATATGCCACTGCCTAAAATATCTAAATTTTATAAATTCAACCCTCAGAAATGAATTAGAATGTGGGCAGCCTAGGAGGCAAACTTTTGGGAGGATATTTCACTGGACAAAAAGCCCCCAAAAGTCCTGTATATTTAAAACATCTGTATCATATGTAGATTAAAAAAAAAAAAAAGAATGAAACTTTGCAAAGAAGCACTAGTAAAAACTGCAAGTAAAGCTTGGACAATTAAATATTTTTAGATACATAATTTTAAACTATCATCTATCATTTTTTTCCTTAATTTGTAATACATGTTAAATGGTGCAAGTCTTATATGATTTAGAATATTGAATTGATACATTTTAGATTTTGTATAATTTACTCTTTAGGACATAGTTAATGTACAAGAGTTGCTTAGAAACCAAATATTTTATTCTGAATCTGGGGCAGGGGGGACCAAATATTTTACTTGTATTGGTGACTTTTTTTAGTGTCTCCAGCCAATGCTGTTTATAAAAACCATGACTCAGTGTGATTTCACCATCTTCTCCATGGACCACTGTATACATTGATGTTTCTTATCTTCTAGGGGTGGGAGTATTTCCCTCACAGGATCCTGCTCAGCCCAGAATGCCTCCTTGGATTTACAATGAGAGTTTGGTTCCAGGTAAAAAAGCCCAGGATTGCCATCTGGATATTTTGCTATAAATATTGTAAATGTAGTTGTAAATATTTACTGTCATAGTTACAAAATATGCAGGAGGAATTGTGACTTTTCTTTTTTTCTGAAAGAGTACAGAAATTAAATAAATGTCGTGTTTCATAAGACTGCCTCATGTATGGAATAACTATATAAATGAAGGAGAGTAGTTTTGTGTTAATGTTTTATCAGCCATCATACTTCCATTTCTAAAAGCTCTTTTAGATTTATTTTGCTTTAATGGACATTATCAAATATTTAGTTCAGCGATTAATAACATCAAGAATTTTACTAAAATATTTAATGTCATTTTCTGAATTCTTAGTTTATATTTTTAAAAATATTATTTCTATGACTTATTTGTCATGTAATACTATATGAAATAAAAGACCATGTGGGATCTTTTTTTTCACATTGGAAGATGCGAAGGATAGTGTTTACCTTTTTTTTTTTTTTTTTTTTGAGACAAGGTCTTACTATGTCACCCAGGCTGGAGTGCAGTGACACAATCTTGGCTCACTGCAGCCTTGACCTCCCCAGGCTCAATCCTCCCACCTAGCCTCTCTAGTAGCTGGGACTACAGGTGCGTGCCACTACGCCCAGCTAATTTTTGTATTTTTTTTGTAGAGACGGGGTCTCACCATGTTGCTCAGGCTGGTCTCAAACTCCTGGGCTCAAGTGATCTGCCTGCCTCGGTCTCCCAAAGTGCTGGGATTACGAGTGTGAGCCACTGCACCCGGCCTACTTTTTCTTTACGTATATTTTTACTGCTGAGCCAAAAAGAAAAAAAAAAAAAAAGAAAATCCTTAAAGTGCATTTTCTTCTTTAAACAAAAAAAAATTTATTTTTAATTTTTATGGCTACATAAGTGTATATTTTTATGGAGTACATGAGATATTTTGATACAGACATACAATATGTAATAATCACATCAGGGTAGATAGGGTATCCATTACCTCAAGCATGTATTACTTCTTTGTGTTATGAATGTTCCAATTATACTCATTATTTTCTTATAATAAAATAATTATTTTAATGAAGTATTCAAAATAATTTTAAACATCTGATAGTAAGATTAGACACAAATGAGTATGCTGCACAAATTATTGTTGACTGTAGCTACCTTGTAGTGCTATCAAATTCTAGATCTTATTCCTCCTATCCAACTATATTTTTATGCCTATTAACCATACCCATTATTCCCCCCTCCCCACTACCCTTCTCAGCCTCTGGAAACCATCATTCTATTCTCTGTCTCCATGAGTTTAGTTGTTTTAATGTTTAGCCTCCACAAACGAATGAGAATATGTGAAGTTGGTCTTTCTATGCTTGACTTATTTCTCTTAATATAATGTCCTCTAGTTCCAACCATGTTGTTGGAAATGACAGGATCTCAATTTTTTTATGGCTCAATTTTGCTCCATTGTGTATATGTACCACATTTTCTTTATCCATTCGATAAAGTGTCTGTCAGTGGACACTTAGGTTGCTTTTGAATCTTGGCTTATAAATTAGTACAGCCACTGTGGAGAAACCTTTATACTGTTCTCCATAGTGGCTATACTAATTTACATTCCTACCAACAGTGTATGAGGGTCCCCTTTTCTCCACATCCTCACCAGCATTCGTTATTGCTTGTCTTTTGGATAAAAACCATTTTAAGTGGGGTGAGATGATATCTCATTGTAGTTTTGATTGACATTTCTCTGATGATCAGTGATGTTGAGCCCCTTTTCATAAGCCTGTTTGCCATTTGCATGTCTTCTTTTGAGAAATGCCTGTTCAGTTGTCTTGCCCATTTTAAAATCAGATTGTTAGCTTTTTTTTCTATTGAGTTGTTTGAGCTTCTTATATATTTTGGTTATTAATCCCTTGTCAGATGGATAGTTTACAGATATTTTCTCCCGTTCTGTGTGTTTTCCATTTTTTGATTGTTTCCTTTGCAGTGCAAAAGCTTTTTAACTTGATGTGATCCCATTTGTCAATTTTTGCTTTGGTTGCCATTATTTTTGGGTTATTACTCAAGACATCTTGCCCAGATCAATGTCCTGGAGAGTTTCCCTAAGTTTTCTTTTAGTAGTTTCGTAGTTTCTGGTCTTAGATTTAAAAGTCTTTAATTCATTTCGATTTGAGTTTTGTATTTGATGTGGGATGGAGTCTAGTTTTATTCTTCTGCATATGGATATCCAGTTTTTCCAGCACCATTTATTGAAGAGACCCTTCCCAATGTATATTCTTGGCACCTTTCTGAAAAATGAGTTCACTGTGGATGTGTGGATTTATTTCTGGGTTCTCTATTCTGTTCCATTGGTCTCTGTGTCTGTTTTTATGTTATTACTATGTTGTTTTGGTTACTATAACTTTGTAGTGTAATTTGAAGTCAGGTAATATACAGTAACGTACTGCAATTCCTCCAGTTTTGTTCTTTTTGCTCAGAATGGCTTTGGCTATTCTGGGTCCTTTGTGGTACCATATAACTTTTAGGATTATGTTTTCTGTTTCTGTGAAGAATGTAATTGGTATTGATAGGGATTGCATTGAATCTGTACTACCCATTGCTTTGAGTACTATGTACATTTTAACAACATTGATTCTTCCAAAACATGAACATGGAATATTTCTCTACTTTTTTATGTCCCCTTCAATTTCTTGCATTAATGTTTTATAGTTTTCATTCAAATGCATTTTCTGATACTACTCATAATGACAAAAGGCTGATTGTTACCAAAATCGTATGTACAATTCAACTGTACATAAAAATAATGGCTTTTCTTCCAAATGCCTATTAGACAGTTTGTATCTTTTCTTCTTCTCTGTCCAAACAAAATCTAGATCTTGTTATATTTTGGAGTTTTATCCATTTTCTGCCGGTTTGTATTACTTTCTCCCTCTTCCTTCCAAACATACATGCACATATACTTTCTAGTCAAAACATGTATTCTTTTTTTTTTTTTTTTTTGAGATGGAGTCTCTCTCTGTCACCCAGGCTGGAGTGCAGTGGTGCGATCTTGACTCACTGCAACCTCTGCCTCCCGGGTTCAAGCAATTCTCCTGCCTCAGCCTCCTGAGTAGCTGGGGCTACAGGCATACACCACCACGCCTGGCTAATTTTTTTTTATTTTTAGTAGAGATGGGATTTCACCATATTGGCTAGGCTGGTCTCGAACTCCTGACCTTGTGACTCGCCCACCTCGGCATCCCAAAGTGCTGGGATTACAGGCATGAGCCACCACATCCGGCCAAAAATATGTGTTCTTATGGAGAGCCCACTAACCTGTAATCCATACTTATAATCCCAGATGTAAAATTTTTGTTTTAAACAGTTTCTCTGTCCACCTTAGCCCTACTAACTTTCATCTCCCTAACTAAGCTTGCTAGATTTAGTAAATAACCATACAGGATGCCCAGTTAAATTTGAATTTCAGGTAAAAAGCAAATAATTTTTTAGTATAAGTATGTCCCATGCAATATTGGCATTCTTTATTTTAGCCCTGTCTCTAACAACATTTCCCACTTGGTCCTTTGGAAAACCCATGTTATTATCAAAAACTCACCAACCGCACCCCCCCTTTTTAAGACACTTGTTCTGCTTCCTCACCCTAACAGAAACTGGGTCTTTCCTTAAAGGTTATATTTCCATAGCATCTTCTCCAATGGTGTTTTCTCTCATAGCCTCGATGTTGGTATAATTCTTACTTCCTGTTGCTCTTTTCAAACTGTTCCCACCATCATTACTCTACGGCTTCTCTTGTAATATCCAAAGCATGCTGTCTTGTTACAATCTTCTATTGAATTATAAGACTTTGTCTTACCTCTAGCCCTAAACTTTATCTTTAGTACCAAGCTCCAGATTCTAATTGTCTCCTGGACATTTCCTCTTGAATATCTCAATTTTTGTTTTCTTTTTTTCTGAAACGGAGTCTCACTGTTTCCCAGGCTGAAGTGCAGAGTGCAGAGTTGCAATCTTGGTTCACTGCAACCTTTGTCTCGGGATTCAAGCGATTCTGCCTCAGCCTCCTGAGTAACTGGGCCTACAGGCACATGCCACCACGCCTGGCTAATTTTTGTATTTTTAGTAGAGATGGGGTTTCACTATGTTGGCCAGACTGGTCTCGAACTCCTGACCTCAGATGATCTGCTGGCCTTGGCCTCCCAAGTGCTGAAAGATTATAGACGTGAGCCACCATGCCCAGCCGCACTGGAATATGTTTAAAGCAGTTTAAACCCTGACATGGCTTTGGTTCTATTAAAGCAGTTTGATTGAAGATTATTCTTGTATACCAACAATGGCACCCCGAAAAATGAATCACTTGGAATGTGTTTCCATTTGTAATCTGGTATTTCCTTTAATAGATGCCTATAAGAAAATCTTAGAAACCACAGTGACTCCAACCGGAATAGATACTGCCAAACTGTATCCCATTCTGATGTCATCTGGGCTTCCCAGGGAAACTCTTGGACAGATATGGGCCTTAGCTAATCGAACTACACCTGGCAAACTTACAAAAGAAGAACTTTATACTGTTCTAGCCATGATAGCGGTAACACAGGTAAACCATGTTTCTTAAGTTAGATCAAATAACTTTATTAGTATAAATTGCAAGGATATGAAATCTTTTTTACTACATTGTGTAACTCCTTGTACATTAAAATTTAGATCATTTTCAGGATATAGTACTTCAAAAAATGTAGAGTTTATATGCTGTGCATAATAGCAAGTTATTCCTTTGTTTAAAGACCTTTTGTTTTGGTTTGTTTTTGAGACTGAGTCTCACTCTATTGCCCAGGCTGGAGTGCAGTGGTGCGATCTCAGCTTACTGCAGTTTCCACCTCCCGGGTTCAAGTGATTCTCCTGCCTCAGCCTCCCAAGTAGCTGGGATTACAGGCACCTGCCACCATGCCTGACTAATTTTTATATTTTTAGTAGAGATGGGGTTTCACCATGTTGGCCAGGCTGGTCTTGAACTCCTGACCTCAAGTGATCCACCTGCCTCGGCCTCCCAAAGTGCTGGGATTACAGGTGTGAGCCACCATGCCTGGCCTAAAGACTTTTAATATATTAACATTCTCTGAACTTGAAAGTTAGTCAGTAATAGGTGAAATTACTCTGTCTGTCTTTTGAAGTTTTCTCTAAAATTTCGTAGATATAAAGTATTCTCAGTCTGGTAGAAATTTTTCTTTTATTGCAAAGTCATTTAAAATGATTTGATCATATAGAATTAACCAAACGTGTCAGAAAGTGAAAATGTCAGAACTGATATGTGTTGGCCATTTCTTTGTTAAGTATTAGGTTTGCATTGACCTTGTAACTTTTTTTCTTAAATCAAATTCATGAGTTTTGAGAGTAGGAGTGGAAACATGCAAAGGCTACAGATTTTTACCTTTCGGTCTCTGCCAGATTTCGACCGTATGTGGTTTACAACCCCCTAATCCATTTTCTTTCTATCATTTGTAGAGGGGCGTTCCTGCAATGAGTCCTGATGCTTTAAACCAGTTCCCAGCAGCTCCTATTCCAACTTTAAGTGGTTTTTCTATGACTCTGCCTGCACCGGTGAGTCAGCCAACCGTGATACCTTCAGGCCCTGCGGGCTCCATGCCCCTCAGCCTTGGACAGCCAGTCATGGGTATTAACCTTGTTGGACCAGTGGGTGGAGCTGCAGCCCAGGCTTCTAGTGGTTTCATACCAACCTTCCCTGCAAATCAGGTAAATGAAGAAGCTGTGCATATTTCAAATAATCACTGAAAGTGAATCTGGGCACCATTTTTTCCAGGGATACGTAGAGTAGGTTACTGGATTATAGGGAGCACATTTAAATTCTTAGGTTGTATCTTTCAGAAAAACTACTAAACCTGAAATTAAAATACTTTAGGTTTTCACTTCTCAGATTAGCAAAAATGTTTTAAGTATATAATATTTAATGTCATTGAAAAAGTAGGGTAAAAGTGACTAATACACTCTAGGCTTATTGGTACAGCCTTGTCGAAAGGCAGGCTTGGCAATAGTTATCAAAATTCTACATGTCAAGCTGGGCGTGGTGGTGTGTACCTATAGTACCAGCTACTCCAGAGGCTGAGGCGAGAGGATCACTTGATCCCAGGGGTTCAAGTCTGCAGTGTGCTATGGTTATGATCACACCATTGCACTCCAGCTTGGCAACAGAAGGAGACTCAGTTTAAAAAAAAAAAATGCCTCAGCATGTCTGTATCTTCTCTCCTAGCAGTCACATTATTAGAAATCTATCCTAAGAAATAGTTACTCAAATTAGCAAAGATATGTAAGAATTTTTGTTGTAACATTGTTTGTTAGAGTAAAAAGTAGAAATAGCTAAATATCCAACAGGAGGAGAAAGGTTAATTTCAGTTCATTCACACAGTGGTGGTAATCTTTAAACTGAGTAAGATAGAACTACATGTACTGCATGGAAATGTATCTTTGTTATATAGTTAAGAGTATAGAGCAATATAGTGTAATCGTATTTTTCTTTAAAACAAATGAGCTGTTAACAGTACTTCTGGAGTGTGGGATTAGGAGTCAGTGTCCACTCTTTGTACATGTATGTGATTGGTTATGATGAGCTTGTGTCACTTAATTTGCAAACATGCATGATATATCTATATGTCTTTTTTTTTTTTTTTTTTTAGCATTTTGACCTTTTTAATTTTTTTTTTTTTTTTTTTTTGAGATAGAGTCTTGCTATATTGCCCAGGCTGGAGTGCAGTGGTGTGATCTTGGCTCACTGTAACCTCTGCCTCCCAGGTTCAAGCCATTCTCCTGCCTCAGCCTGCCAAGTAGCTGGGATTACAGGTGCCCACCACCACACCCAGCTAGATATGTCTTTTAAAGATGGCAGGCACTTAGTAACCCAATGAATGTCGTTCAGCTATTTTTAAAATGTATAGATTACCTTTTTTTTTTTTTTTTTTTTTCAGCCAAAGTCTTGCTCTGTTGCCCAGCTGGGCTGGAGTGCAGTGGCACAATCTCAGCTCACTGCAACCTCTGCCTCCTGGGTTCAAGCGATTCTCCTGCCTCAGCCACCGATGTAACTGGGACTACAGACACATGCCACCATGCCCAGCTAATTTTTGTATTTTTAGTAGAGATGGGGTTTCGCCATGTTGGCCAGACTGGTCTCGAACTTCTGACCTCAGGAGATCTGCCCACCTTGGCCTCCCAAAGCACTGGGATTACAGATGTGAGCCACTGCACCCAGCCTAGATTAGCTATTTAAACCAGTTTTTTTACCATTTCTACCAGAGAGTATCTAAAAATACAAAACAGTATTCCTGCCTTAAGCACTTGAGTTAATGTATCTAAACTAAGAAATTTTAAGGGCAGTCTTTGACTGTTGGAGATTTGTTGTGCATTTATTTTGTCAGTCAGTGCTATTTATTTAAATATCCTTTATAAACCTAGGTAGTAAAGCCAGAAGAAGACGACTTCCAGGATTTTCAAGATGCTTCTAAGTCAGGATCCCTTGATGACTCATTCAGTGATTTCCAAGAGTTGCCTGCTTCTTCAAAAGCAAGTAACTCCCAGCATGGAAACAGGTAGAAAAGAGTTTAATATATTTAACGTTGTATTTAATCATTAAGGAAGAGACATCCCTAATAGGAAGGCTAGGTGTGAGAAATTTAAAAATTAAGATGCCTTACTCTACTACTTTCTGTGATTATTCCTTCTGTATTAATACTTTTACTCTCCAAACTTCTCTCTTTTGTCCACCTTAAACTTCAGCTCCTACTGTTTCCTCTAAGTACACACCTACCTGGCAATATTCTTTTTCACCTGTGCCAAACCTTTATTATAGCTAGAGCACCTGTGCAGTGATGACTTCATGTTCCTGTATTAAAGCAAAGTCTTCAACTGTTGAAAAGTTTTTTAGGCAGAAGCACATAATTGTATGTTTTTGTAGTGTTATGTACTGTTGCTTTTCCACAGAATCATAATTCACAACTCTAATCATATTTCTTCACATTTCTTGTATAATTGACATTAGTGTCTTTTAAGCCTCAGATTTCTGTTGTTTGCATAGACAGCTGCATAAACATTTCTCTGAGGTTTTAGATGCCACGTTAAGCTTCGGGTACAGTAACTGATTCAGTATGTTGTCAGCATTTTTTATTTTTTTTTGAGATGGAGTCTTGCTCTGTTGCCCAGGCTGGAGGGCAGTGGTGTGATCTTGGCTCACTGCAACCTCCACCTCCCAAGTTACAGCGATTCTCCTGCCTCAGTCTCCCTAGTAGCTAGGATTACAGGTGTCCACCACCACACCCAGCTAATTTTTTTGTATTTTTGGTAGAGATGGGGTTTCACCATTTCACCATGTTGGCCAGGCTGGTCTCAAACTCCTGACCTCAAGTGAGCCTCTCGACTTGGCCTCCAAAGTGCTAGGATTACAGGCATGAGCCACCATGCCAAGCCGGCATTAAAAAAAAAGTATTTAGATATTTCTGCAAAGTGGAACACATCAGACACCAGAGTAAGCGATATGAATTCCTTTGTTTTTATTTTTCAAATTGGTTTTTGTCAGAATACATATTCCGTGTCTCCTGTGTTCCTGTTTATGCAGTTTCGCTCCTTTCTTCCCCATTTAGCCGATTGATTATCTCTTAGTCAGCACTTTGCTGCATACACACTGTAACAAGAACTAAGGGACAGGCGTTATAGAGAATTACAAATTAGGAAAAGAGACTATTCTCCTGGTTTTAAAAATATATTAAATGCATGTATGTAACATATAGAAGAAACATATAAGGAATGAGACCATAGAGTGCTGGTATTTCCAGGACTGCTGCACCAACACAAACAAGTTAAACCTTCTAGACACATAAATTATATTTCTACTCCAGATCTCTTCCTTCAAACAAAATTTGTATGTAGTACTACTATCTAAGCATTCCCATCTGAATGACTCAAGGCATCTCAAATTCACTGCATGAAATTAAATTCATTGTTTTCCTACTCAAAGCCAAATAAAAATGTGTTAAATCATTATTCCCTTCCTTGGTGAATGATGTCACCATATTCAGTCACCAGATTAAAAGCATGCTATTTACTTTGGCTCTGTCCTCTCTCCTTTACCACCATTAACTCTGTCAGCTCTGTGTGACAGTGTGTGATCTTAACTCCTGCCCGCTCTCAACTCTTGATATTTCCCATGACTTACACTCCAGCCATGCCAGCATGACTCCAAACTGACCGTGTTCTTTCAAACTTTATACGTTCTGTTTGCTTCAGTCTGAAATACCCTTACCTAATCTCCCTATAGTTATAGTTCCATTTCAGAAATCAGCTAAAGATAGGAAGTTTTTCCTAACCAATTCCTACCTCCAAGGTGAGCTAGGGGGCCCCTCCTTTGCTACTGCTATAGTACCTGATGAATATCTGTGCCCTAATTGTAATTGCTGGTTTTCCTGACTGTTTCCCTTACTAGGCTGTAAGTATCTGAAGACAGTCATTCATGTTTATATATGTAGTGCTTGGCCCCGTCATATGTAATTAATAAAGATTTGCTGGATGACTGTATTATAGTATGTGGCTTATAAACCTAATTTATCAAATTGGTGATTTATTTATCTGAGCAAAACTGTTTGTAGATGAAATTAAAATTTGGGGGTAGAAAGTTTTAAGATGGTGGCCAGACCTGAGATATATGGGGTATTAGCAATTTTGTGTGACATTATCTCCATGTAATAGTTTACTTTCATATACGATACTTTGCAGATATTCCTGTTACATATAGCTCTGACTTGACTACTTCCATGCTTTCCTTGAATGAAACTATTTTATTTGTTTTTTTTTTTTTTTAAGATGAAGCCTCGCTGTGTCACCAGGCTGGAGTGCAGTTGCGCAACCTCAGCTCACTGCAACTTCTGCCTCCCGGATTCAAGTGATTCTCCTGCCTCAGCCTCCCTAGTAGCTGGGACTACAGGCGTGCGCCACCACACCCAGCTTATTTTTGTATTTTTAGTAGAGACGGGGTTTCACCATACTGTCCAGGCTGGTCTTGAATTCCTGACCTCAGGCGATCTGCCTGTCTTGGCCACCCAAAGTGCTGGAATTACAGACGTGAGCCACCATGCCCAAATGAATGAAACTATTTTGGTATTATCTAGAATTCATACTCAATATTCATTTATTCATCCAGCAAACATTTATTTAGTATTTGCTATATGCCAGACACTGGGATAGGCATGAGAAATACAGAAGCAAAAACCACAGTTCCTGCTCTAAGGACACTTAGTTTTATCTGGTATTTAAATTATCTGATAAAGTTCTCTTAGGATTAGTCCTTAAATATATGTATAAAATGTATTCCCTAGTTTATGATAATCTGTACTCCAAATTGTTTTAAAAAGAGATTTGTTAAATCATGATGTGAATAGCTAAGCCTAGGAGAGACCATTTTGGACAGAAAATGGGCATTATTTGTTAGAGAAGATGAAAAGGCAAGTAAGATGTTAGGAGTAGACCGGGATGGAGAACATTGTTAGTCTGTGAGAAAATAACATTAGTAAGGGCCAGCACCAGTTGTGGGGTGCCTTATGACTTATGACATACTCTATTTTAAAGCATTTTAGGAGTAAGAAGTGGCACAATGAAAGTGATTCTTGCTACTGTGTATAGGATAAATTCAATTGCCATGGTAATCCTGCTGTGACATGATGAGAATTACTCAGGGTTTAGAGTTACAGACACTGAACAGTTTATATCTGAGAAATTGGTTAGACTCGATGTTGAACTAGATGTCAGAGTCAAAGGAGAGATGGCAATTGAGCCCGCGCATAAAACCTGAAGGGCCTCTGGAAGGCAGCAACATCATCCAGTTACTCATTCAGAAAATACTATGTGCCGGGCACTCGGGAGCCTAGACTAATCAACAAAGCAGATATGGGACATTGATCATAGAAAAGTTAACAAGGGGGCCAGGGTTGGCCAGGCACGGTGGCTCATGCCTGTAATCCCAGCACTTTGGGAGGCCGAGGCAGACGGATCATCTGAGGTCAGGAGTTTGAGACCAGCCTGGCCAACATGACGAAACCCCGTCCCTACAAAAAAAATAAATAAAAATAAAAATACAAAAATTACCCAGGCATGGTGGTGTGTGCCTGTAATTCCAGCTACTTGGGAGGCTGAGTCAGGAGAATTGCTGAACCTGAGAGGTAGAGTTTGCAGTGAGCCAAGATCGCGCCACTGCACTCCACAGCCTGGGAGACAGAGTGAGAAGTTGTCTTATTAAAAAAAAAAAAGGCTGGCGGGGAAGGCTGGGTGCAGTGGCTCTTGCCTGTAATCCTAGCGCTTTGGGAGGTGGATCCGTTGAGCCCAGGAGTTCAAGACCAGCCTAGAAAACCTATGGAGACGCCATCTCTACCAAAAATGCAAAAATTACCTGGGCATGGTGGTACATGCCTGTAGTACCAGCTGTCCCAACTACTTGGGATGCTGAGGCAGGAGAATCACTTGAACCCAGGAGGTCGAAACTGCAGTGTGCCATGATCGTGCCGCTGCACTCCAGCCTGGGCAACAGAGCAAGACGCTGTCTCAAAAAATAAATAAAAGTTCACAAAGGGTTAATGTACAGGAGTTTGGGGTTAGTTAGTTTATTCTGCTGAGATCAAAATATTTCTTTTTAAATGTATATATTTAGCAGGGTAAGCAACTAAATAAAACTACCACAGTCATATGGAGTGATTGTAAAACACTAATAGATTCACTAGAGAAAATGCAAAATACTTTTTTATGCCGAATTTTTTAAGTCTTACCTTTCAGTAGAATACAGGTTCGTAAGTGTAAAATCAATATGCCTTTCTCACTTGAGTATTTTCGTTAGTATGAAAGGGTAGAAATAACTGCCTTCATGTTTGGAACGGATGATGAGTACTGTGTAACTGGCATAAACACTTTCATGGTGATTACAGTGTTTTTTTTAAAAATAACTTCAGAGAAAGTACTGGAATGAAATATTCATTTGCAGTGTGCATAAAATTACAGTCTGAGTCATAACTTTTTTTGAATGGAATTTTGTTGACTTTAATCAGCAAGCAGTAGTTCATTACCCTGAAGATCCTGGTTTTTTTTTTCCCAATTCTGTGAATATAATTTTAAAATTAATCAATTAAGTGTAACATGTAGTAGAAAGATTTTTACCAATGAGCCTTAAAAGGCCATAGCTAAAGTTGGAGGGTCATGAAAAATAAAGAAATCATTCAACTTTTGGGTTTTTTTTTCCCCTAAGATGTTAATTGCCTTTATTCCCGTGTAACATCCTGTACAGTGAATTGTACTTTAATTACTTATGGAACTTTTAAAAAGTCAACTTACAATGTATAGATGATGGCTTATTTCATTTGTCAAGATCAGTTATGTAGCAGCTGTTTGGTGGTGATGTGAAATCATAATATTTGATAGCATTAAGTCCTAAAGGACTGTGTACCCCATTAGCATGCAGCTGCCAGAGCCTAGTTTTTACCTTGCTTGTAAGCCACTGATAAGAAGATTTAAATGACTGTGGAAATATTTTTGCTCCAGGGCAAAGAACTCAATAGAAATCCATTTATATAACTTGTGCATGGTATTGAATGACACAAACTAGTGGTGGAATGTAGTCATTCATATGTAAAGGTAGTTTTTCCAGGGAGCTGCCCGGGTCTGATAAGGGAAGAAGAAGAAAAAAAAAATAAGTAATGCTTTTATAGTATATGTTTAAGCCTTCTAAGAATTACCCACAGAGATACTACTCATTACGCTACTTTTCCATCCAGCATGAAATATGTCCACAGGCAAAAGTATCTTTATCTAATTTTGAAGTGATTGTTGTTTTGTTACAAAGATAGCTTCTGAAACCGCTGATGTGATCCTTGTAAAAATGCAAATTGTATTAACTCTACGGCAGCTTATCAGATGTATGCACTTCTACCGGTAGGCAATGCAGTACAGTCAGAAGAAGAACAATTTACATTTGTCTTGGACAACATTTCATAAATAGATTTTTATCTTAACTGTTCTACCTCTGCACTCTGTACCCATTGAAGATAATAATTTATATTAAGGTTAATATGATTTATTTTAAAATATTGAGTATACATATGTGGATCAGTTCACTTTTATAGTTTTATGGACCTTAAGTTAAAATTGCAGGAAGTCATCATTCTTTAATAACCTACTTCCAATGCCATTCCAGTTATTATGGCTTAAAGAGGTGCTTAGACAGCATGGATCTGACCCCTCTTCATTTAATTAAGAAAAAAATGATTGGGTAATGTGTTTTATCTGTTTTTTTGTTTTTGTTTTTGTTTTTTTTTTAGAAAAAGGACATTTTTTTCTTTGTGGTGTATATGTATACTATATAGTTTCTAACTTTTAAAGCAGAGAGCCATGAGTTTTAATGAAATCCCTGTTTGCCATTTTAATTCGAACTTCTTTTTTGATGATAAAGGAAGCATTCAATGTCATCAAAACATGTTTCTTTTTTCCTTTAGTGCCCCTTCTTTGTTGATGCCACTTCCCGGAACTAAAGCATTGCCTTCAATGGACAAATATGCTGTGTTTAAAGGAATTGCAGCTGACAAGTCCTCTGAAAATACTGTTCCACCTGGAGGTAAAAACAGTGGGTAAATTCATAAACTTGTGAATGCTAAATTGCATATTTAAATTGTATGAATCTTTAAGTGGGGTTCTTCTGTGTGCTAAATGTGTAAAATGCCTATACCACATGTTAAGAGTGTTTGGCGGCCGGGTGCGGTGGCTCACGCCTGTAATCCCAGCACTTTGGGAGGCTGAGGCGGGCAGATCACGAGGTCAGGAGATCGAGGCCATCCTGGCTAACACAGTGAAACTCCATCTCTACTAAAAGTGCAAAAAATTAGCCGGGCATGGTGGCGGGCGCCTGTAGTCCCACCTACTTGCGAGGCTGAGGCAGGAGAATGGTGTGAGCCCGGGAGGCAGAGCTTGTGGTGAGCCAAGATTGCACCACTGCACTACTCTAGCCTGGGTGACGGAGCGAGACTGTCTCAAAAAAAAAAAAAGAGTGTTTGGTTAAACCAATCTGCCTGACTTCCTGGAGCTGTAATTTCAGGATTCCTAACATTAATTGAGCTTCTGTCCTTTCTGTCATAGATCCTGGTGATAAATATAGTGCTTTCAGAGAACTCGAACAGACAGCAGAGAATAAACCTTTAGGTAAGTTTTTGAGTCCTTAAAAGGATAAATTATTTCCATTTTTAATAAAAAAGGGATTTTTGATGGTTCTTTCCATGGCATTCCTTTATTTTAGTGTGTGCGTGTGTGTGTGTGTGTGTGTGTGTGTGTTTAGGAGAAAAAAACTAAATAGATAAAACAATATGGTATAGTAGTGATGTTTATAATAGATACTCTTAAGTATTCTACTTCAGAAAACCTTAATAATAGCAACTGTGTTTAGGCCAGGGGCGGTGGCTCATGCCTGTAATCCCAGCAGTTTGGAAGGCCGAGGAAGGTGGATCACCTGAGGTCAGGAGTTTGAGACCACCCTGGCCAACATGGCAAAACCCTGTCTCTACTAAAAATACGAAAATTAGCCGGGTGTGGTGGTGCACACCTGTAGTCCCAGGTACTCAGGAGGCTGAGGCAGGAGAATTGCTTGAACCCAGGAGGTGGAGGTTGCAGTGAGCTGAGATTGTGCCACTGCACTCCAGCCTGGGTGACAGAGCAAGACTCCATCTCAGAAAAAAAAAAAAAAAAAGCTACTGTTTTTAAAAAATATCATAATAGGATCAGACACAGTTGCTCACACCTGTAATCCCAGCACTTTGGGAGACTGATCTGGGCAGATCACCTGAGGTCAGGAGTTCGAGACCAGCCTCGCCAACCTAGTGAAACCCCATCTCTACTAAAAATACAAAAAAGTTAGCCTGGCATAGTGACACGTGCCTGTAGTCCTAGCTACTCAGGAGGCTGAGGCACAAGAATCGCTTGAACTCAGGGAGACAGAGGTTGCAGTGAGCCAAGATCATAAAAAAAAAAAAGAAAAGATAGGTACTGAATGGGGGATTATCTAATAGAAGGGAAATAAGATTACTTCTTATAGTTCTGGAAATTACAAGGAGTTAAATGTACTTGAGAATTACTTATTTTCTAAAATTTAGGGCATGCCAGGCACAGTGGCTCATGCCTGTAATTCCAGCACTTTGAGAGTCCAAAATGGGAGGATGGCTTGAGCCCAGGAGTTTGAGACCAACCTGGGCAATATAGTGAGACCTTGTCTCTACAAAAAAAAAAAAATTTAGCCAGGTGTAGTGATGCACACCTGTGGTCCCAGCTACTCGAGAGGCTGAGGTGGGAGGATTGCTTGAGCCTGGGAGGTGGAGGCTACAATGAGCCCTAATTGTGCCACCGAACCCTAGCCTGGGCAGCAAGCAAGACTCCATCTCAATCAATCAATAAAAATACAATAAAACAAAATTTGGGGCAAATTCCAAATCAGTGTTGTTTCCTTTGAAGATAGGACATTCCCTTTCATGGGAAGCTTGCATGACAAGTTAAATTCCCTTGTGAAATGAGAGCTGTGGTTACTCTGATTTATTACACTGCTCAACGAGGCTTGAAGTATTAGCAGTACAGCAATCTGTGTACTGTAAAGGCAGCAACTAGTCTTTTTTTTCTTAAAACAGAGTTTTATTCTTGTCAGCCAGGCTGGAGTGCAATGGCATGATCTCAGCTCACTGCAGCCAATACCTCTCGGGTTCAAGTGATTCTTCTGTCTCAGCCTCTTGAGTAGCTGGGATTACAGGTACTTGCCCCCATGCCTGGCTAATTTTCATATTTTTAGTAGAGACAGGGTTTCACCATGTTGGCCAGGCTGGTCTCAAACTCCTGACCTCAGGTGATCTGCCCACCTCGGCTTTCCACAGTGCTGGGATTGCAGACGTGAGCCATCATACTTGGCCAGTCTTTTTCTTTTCAAGATTTTTTTTTCTATTACTGTTGCGGTACCTGGTACCATTATTATTTGTTATTTTTTAGCTATTCACTCATGATCTAGAAATAACACATTCTAGAATAACATTATTAAAAACAACTTGATTAAGGCATAGTCACTGCTACCTATTATAAAGCAGGTATAAGGTACTTTACATTCACAGAGGTATAATATAGTACTGTCTTACATCTATAATACTAGAGCGTACAATTAAAAAGACTTTATATAAGATTTGATTCTACTTTTCCAGTAGAGAGCCCAAAGGTTGGTATGACACAGCTCTCATACAGAAATGCACCTTCTTAGCTAGGATTTTCTTTCAGTAGTAGCATGGTTATAGGTACTCACTTTTCTTCATGAACATCAGCTAAAAATAATTTTAAAACAAACAAATGAAACATTGGATTCCTACAAAGATGACCAAGTGGGGGTAAGCAGGACTCAACCAAACTCATATTTTACCAGATCCCTCGTGTTTGAACAGTGAGAGCTCTGTGAAAGAAAGGGAATGGCAAGCAGCACTTCAAAATTTGGGCCACAACCAAAACACAGGATCATTTCAAACAGAAGCAGTAACCAAACAATGCTCACTTAGTATGTTCAAGGATGCCAACATCAATATTCAGTCATCTGCACACTCATCCAGTAAGAATGGGTGATCAGTTACTATACTTGGCTTGCATTAAACTGAATCACCACTCTACAAGATTTTCAAGATTGGCTGTAATTTAATGAGAAAGATGAAGAGAGGGGTTTATGTGTACGTGTGGTTACCATCTCTAATAGTAAGACTTAGAGTACAAGGGAGTATAAAATGATCATTCGAGAGTCATATATCCGAAAGTTATATTTGTGGTTAAATCCTACTGTAAACGTGATGTGTAGGGTTTAGATAACCCATGGGTCAAAGTATGTTCTCGAAAGCTTAATTGTGCATGCTATGAAATGTGTATACTCTAATGAGAATTTCCTGTTTCCTCTGGGAACAATACCACATTCTATCTTTACATATTGAATGCTCAGACTTGGGACATCCTTCAGCAATCTTTTATTTCCACCCTTCTGCTAGGTTGGAGAGATGGTGGGTAGGTATGGTAGGAACTGTATTGCTTAATCATCTCTAAAAAAGGGAAGCCCACCTCTTATAAAAATACTCAACCTCTTTTAACTGTTAGGTTCTAGAAATGTTTGCTTGTGTTTCATCCAAGCTTTTAGAATGTAATAGCCATTTCTTCCTCAGTATCAGATACACAGTGGGAGTAACAGAGTGGGAGTAACAGAAATAAACAGAGTAACAGTGTGGGAGTAACAGAGATAAACCCGAGGGGAACTTTTGACTTGTGAGGTTTTTATTTGCACCTAGCAATGTCTTTTCATCAACACTTGGGCCAAGACAAGTTTGGAGTAAAGAGCACATAGTTTAACCTGAGGGTTCTTTGTGTAATGTGGTATTAATGACCATAATATGTATTCCTGTAACAGACAATAGGAAAAGACAGTGGTGCCACCAGTATGTAAGCAGTACCTTAGTCCTGCTTTTTCAATACTTTTTTTTTTTTTTTTGAGACAGTGTTATGTTCTGTCATCCAGCCTGGAGTGCAGTGGTGCAGTCATAGCTCACAGCAGCTTCCAGCTCCTGGACTCAAGCAACCTCAGCCTCCCTCCCAAGTAGCTAGAACTGTAGATGTGCACCATCACAATGGGGTCTTGCCCTGTTGCCCAGGCTAGTCTTGAACTCCTGGCCTCAAGCAGTCTTTCCAGCTCAGCCTCCCTAAATGCTGGGATTACAAGTGTGAGCCACCGTGGCCAACCAAATTTCAGTACTTTTTTTAAAAAGTTCCAGATTGTTGTTATTTTCATTTGCTTGCTTTCATTCCTATCTTAATTCTAAGGTCTTCCAAGTAGAGTTACCAACTGTGTTCATTTTAGGAGAATAGATTTTATTTTCCTAAATGGTATGATATCTTTTTTATACTCATTAAAAATACATTGATTTGACTTTGTTAAAGTACATTAGTATCTTAGAATTTATGAAGAATCTTATAGTATTGTGTTCAGAGCTGTGGGTTGCTTAGGTTACTGAATAACAGAGTTTAATAATATTTCCTTTTTTCCATCTCCACAGTTTAAGCCATAAATTAAAGTAAATGAGGAAAATGTTCTTTATAAATAAATGGCACATTTTTATTGAAGTTTTAGCAAAAAAGTGGATTCTTTTGAGATTTTTTAGAGCCTAAAAAGTGACAGGAGAGGGAAACTTATGAGTATGTAGACATTAACCAAAAAGCTAACCATGAAATAATATGCTTAATATGTCTTCTGATAGACAAGCTTCCATTGACTGTGACTAATTTATTTGCCAACAGATTCCCTTTGTAAACCCACCCATTTTTATTTCCTTTTAACCCTTTCACCCAGCTTACATTTCCATTGGAAAAGTTTACAATTCATCAGTAAGTGTAGTTTGCTGTGGTGATTGAAATACACAAACAAAGCAATACTTGTCAATTTCACAGATATTTCAAAGCAATGCATTAAAAATTTAGGCTGTGATAAAAATGGCTGCTTATTACCTCTACATTTACAGAAATAATACAAATATAATCAGTGATACTACTAATTTAAAATTCTAGGGTGAATTTTAAAAGTTTTACATCTTCTATCAGTTTGTGAAATTGACTTGAGTTTTACTAGTGGTATGTCTTACAAATATAAATTACAGGAAATCTGAATGCGGTTCCTCTCTTATTAGATGAATTCCTTGGTGTTGATGAATTATGGTGATGAATTGGTTAACTATCTCAGGTTAGGAGGAAAAATCAGCTTGTACTGTTTTTGGTGCTTTTTTTTCATCTTCTATATCCAAGTATATATCTTATTACAAGCACAGTATATTTTATTTTTAAAATTTATTTATATTTATTTATTTATTTATTTTTGAGACAGAGTTTCGCTCTTGTTGCCCCAGCTGGAGTGCAATGGTACAATCTCGGCTCACTGCAATCTGCCCCCCGGGTTCAAGCGATTCTCCTCCCTCAGCCTCCCAAGTAGCTGGGATTACAGGCACCTCCCACTACACCCAGCTAATTTTTTGTATTTTTAGTAGAGATGGGGTTTTACCATGTTGGCCATCCTGGAACTCCAGACCTCAGGTGACCCACCCGCCTTGGCCTCCCAAAGTGCAAGGATTACAGGCATGAGCCACCGTGCCCAGCCCAAGCACAGTATATTTTAAGCCTTATTTTAAGCATTATTTTATATACCAATTTAAGAATTGGATTTTGGTTATTTTAATTTACTTAATTTTAACCTCCAGAAATGGCAGTCTTTTTTTTCTTTTTAATAATAAATGATGTTGGTTGGTATAGCTATATTTTTTTTTTTTAATTTTTATTTTTGAGACAGTCTCTCTCTCTGTCCCCCAGGCTGGAGTGCAGTGGTGAGATCTTGGCTCACTGCAACCTCCACCTCCCAGGTTCAAACAATTGTTGTGCCTCAGCCTCCCAAGTAGCTGGGATTACAGGCATGTGCCTCCATGCCCAGCTAATTTTTCTGTATTTTTAGTAGAGATGGGGTTTCTCCATGTTGGCCAGGCTCGTCTTGAACTCCTCCTGGCTTCAAGTGATAACGCCCGCCTGGGCCTTCCAAAGTGCTGGGATTACAGGTGTGAGCCACTGTGCCTGGCCTTGGCATAACTATATTTACATTTGGCTTATCTCTAGTTTTTATTACCTGGTATAGCCTAGTGGATTTTATGGTAGACCTTCAGGTGCTATTAGAAAACTGAGATCGTCTGCATCCTGACGCTCTACCTGAGTGATAACATTACTATGATAATAAAGAATATAGAAACCTTTTAAGAATCACAGGCCTTGGGCCGGGCGCTGCAGCTCACGCCTGTAGTCCCAGTACTTTGGGAGGCCGAGGCAGGTGGATCACCTGAGGTCAGGAGTTTGAGACTAGCCTAGCCAATGTGGTGAAACCCCGTCTCTACTAAAAATACAAAATTTAGCCAGGCGTGGTGGCAGGCGCCTGTAATCCCAGCTACTTGGGAGGCTGAGGCAGGAGAATCGCTTTGAACCCATGAGGAAGAGGTTTCAGTGAGCCGAGATCACACCATTGCACTCCAGCCTGGGCGACAAGAACAAAACTCTGTCTCAAAAAAGAAAAAAAAAAGAATCACAGGCCTAAATTTTTATCGGTATCTTAACTGAGTCTGTTTAATTATTTATGAGAAATACATAAGTACCCACATTATTTAACCAGAATATCAAAATAAACAATTCTAGGACACATGTTTCTCAGGATCTCCTGAGAACTGTGTCATGGGCAAAAGAAATTTTATTAAAAAATAAAAAATATGTCAGGCGCAGTGGCTCACGCCTGTAATCCCAGCACTTTGGGAGGCTGAGGCAGGCGGATCACGAGGTCAGGAGATTGAGACCATCCTGGCCTCCCACACCCCATCTCTTGCTGAAAAAAAAAAAATTAGCCAGGTGTGGTGGCGAGTGCCTGTAGTCCCAGCTACTCGGGAGACTGAGGCAGGAGAATGGTGTGAACCTGGGAGGTGGAGCTTGCAGTGAACCGAGATTGCACCACTGCACTCCAGCCCGGGTGACAGAGCGAGACTCTGTTTCAAAAAATAAAAAATAAATAAAGGCTGGATACAGTGGCTCAAGCCTGTAATCCCAGCACTTTGGGAGGCCGAGGCGGGCGGATCACCTGAGGTCAGGAGTTCAAGACCAACCTCAACATGGAGAAACCCCGTCTCTACTAAAAATACAAAATTAGCCGGGCATGGTGGTGCATGCCTGTAATGCCAGCTACTCAGAAAGCTGAGGCAAGAGAATTGCTTGAAACTGGGAGGCGGAGGTTGCAGTGAGCAGAGATCACACCATTGCACTCCAGCCTGGGCAACAAGAACGAACTCCATCTCAAAAAAAAAAAAAAAAAAAAAAAAAAAAAAAAAAAAAAAAAAAAAAATTCCGTCAGTTACTCCATTCTCAGAGTAGCATAATATAAACTAAAGTCTAAATTATAGCTTCCAAAACTTTGTTGTAATAGAGTTGGTATTCAAATCCTTTTGAATTTTAATAAATAAAAATAAGTGCTCATTGATGCAGTGAGACAGCTAATTTGTAGAAAAGCTCAAGTGCTTAGAGACTTTTTTTTCTGTGAGATTCAGCTTATTAGAGAGTATGGGGAGGAGCTGCTTTACAGTGTGCCCCACCTAGAATGCTTTGCAAATAAATAGATACCTTTTCAAACATTGTCATCAAAGCTCCCTTCAAATTAATGCCTTCCTTTACTTGAGCAAGACCACATAGTATCTAAGGTTATTCTTAAAGTGCCTGGCTGAACCAAGTATTGTCCATCCTGAATATTAGATGTAGGATTTTTCATAATACTTCATTGGTACCTCTGATTTTTTTTTTAACCAGGTAACATGTTTTATCTTTAAAGCGCCACTATTTTAATATGCCTCTCTTCAAGAACCTCTAACCCTATTTCTTATTGTATTGTCTGCTTGGCTGGCTAGCTGTGGGAACAAAACGTCTTGAGAGAAGTGCTTTTAGCCAGCTGTAGGATCTAGAGCTAGGGGAGATCCCACACTAAAAGCATGAGCAAATGAAAATGGTAATGGCAGGTACTTTCAGTTTGATTTCTGTTTATTTCAGTATCACTAGACCTCAGTGTGGAAACAAATGTGTAGTTCGATAGGGTTTAAACTATAAACATTATTAAGTAATGTCAAGTCAGTGGAGAAAAGTCTGTAAAATTATGCTTGCAGTTTAATATGCTGTGCATTATATGGTTTTCAGTTCAGCATTCCTATTTTTGGGTGGTATTTTTTCTTTCAGGAGAAAGCTTTGCAGAATTCAGATCTGCAGGAACTGATGATGGTTTCACCGATTTTAAAACAGCCGATAGTGTATCACCACTAGAGCCACCGACAAAAGACAAAACTTTTCCGCCATCCTTCCCCTCAGGAACTATACAACAGAAACAACAAACACAAGTGAAAAATCCTCTGAACTTAGCAGACCTAGATATGTTTTCCTCAGTTAATTGCAGCAGCGAGAAACCATTGTCTTTTTCAGCTGCATTTAGCACATCAAAATCAGTTTCCACACCACAGTCAACAGGTTCTGCTGCTGCTACGACAGCATTGGCATCAACGAAAACTTCTAGTTTGGCTGATGAGTTTGGAGAATTCAACCTTTTTGGGGAATATTCTGGTCTACCACCTGTTGGGGAGCAGGATGACTTTGCAGATTTTATGGCTTTCAGTAATAGCTCTATTTCATCTGAGCAAAAGCCAGATGACAAATATGATGCCCTTAAAGAGGAAGCCAGTCCTGTTCCTCTAACCAGCAACATGGGCAGCACAGTGAAGGGTGCACAAAACCTAACTGCTGTGTCTACCAAGTATGATGTCTTCAGACAACTTTCTCTGGAAGGATCTGGACTAGGTGTTGAAGACCTAAAAGATAACACTCCTTCAGGAAAAAGTGATGATGATTTTGCTGACTTCCACTCCAGTAAATTTTCTTCCATAAACTCGGACAAAGCCCTGGGAGAGAAAGCAGTGGCTTTCAGACACACCAAAGAAGACTCTGCATCAGTGAAGTCCTTGGATCTCCCTTCCATTGGTGGCAGCAGTGTCGGCAAGGAGGACTCTGAAGATGCACTCTCTGTTCAGTTTGACATGAAATTGGCTGATGTGGGAGGAGATCTTAAGCATGTCATGTCTGATAGCTCTTTGGATTTACCAACAGTTAGTGGCCAGCATCCTCCTGCTGCAGGTGAGGAATTGGTGAGATTGCTCTGGTGATGGTGTTGTAGATTTAAAGATGAGTCTGGGGGTGTTGATTTACATGAGTAAGGCTCTGGCCCTTTATCTTTATGAATTTCTAATAATCAACCTCTTTGTTGCCAGTCTCCTTAAAGCAGTATTAAATTTGATTCTATGGATACTTGCATATATGGATACTGTGGCTACTGTGGAACTTAGATTGGGTAGCTAAAATATTTTTATTTTTGAAATCTAGCACCAGCTTGGTGTTAGAGGCACATAAAAACTCACTGCTAAATGAACCTCACATTGCCAGAAATTTGATAAGGACTTTTGCAGTGCCAGCAGTGTTTCTCCATTTCTGTGAGTAAAATCATTGTTTCCCTCTCCTTTTTTCTTCTCTTGGATATACACAGCAACTGCCAGTATAGTATTCTGTTGGATTTACAGAAACTAACTCTCGTTAGGCCAAGAAAGTAAAAATTTCTAACCACTTGTAGTGCAGTTTGCCACATCCCTTTAAGAGAAGAAGAGAGAAAGAGTTTATATATGAATGTTCTTTATGTCAGGGTCTGGCAAAGAGGAGGGCGTGTGTTGTCAGTGGAATCCAGGAGCTGTTTTCAGTGTTAACTCTGTTACTAGAAATATTAAGTTGTAACAAATCTGTAGATACTAGAATAGGGTAACTGCTAACTTTCTGATAAAATGTTTGAAAACATCTTATTAGGGAGCCCTCTGAATTCTGTGTGGATTTACATGTAGCAATTTACTATCTACTTCAACTTCTGTCATAAAAACTAGATTCCCAAGTGTCCTGGTTTTTGTTTTGTTTTGTTTTTTGATATGTATATAGAAAGATAAACCTATTTTGTGGCCTTTTAATAATGAGAAATATCTCAGTATCACTGTATTATTCTAGAAAATGTATTATGCATATGAAAGGTTTGGTTTTGTCTAACTAGGGAGGGACACATGAGACACTTCCAAGTTTACAGATTCAGGCAGAAATTGTCAAGTCCTGTAGCTTTTGCATATGTCAAATTTGCAAGTCGGAAAACAAAATGCATCCATCCTTTGGCTCTGGAAATGTAGGTATTCCTAAACAGGGTGCTGAATCAGGAGCAAGTTAGCAGAGACATTGCATATTTCATGTTGCTACTTGCTAAGGTATTTTTCAAATGCAGTGGGCGGTCTGAAGAGCTCCTGTGCCCTTGACTGTCTACTTTCTTTTTTTTCTTTTTTTTGTACTTTTCCTCAGAAATTTTCTTTTTTTTTTTTTTGCTGCCGTTTGTTTGATAGAGTGATTTGGGTTTTTGTTTTGTTTTGTTTTGTTTTTTTTGTATAAGCTGCTTGAACCACAGCAGTTGGTTGCAAAGTGCTCTGTTTTCTGAACAATACTGGATTTTTATTTAAAAATCTCATAACATGTATACTAGCCTTTTGGACTCTGAAGCTACTAATTAGAAACTATTTTTCTGAAAGTGAATCTATATTCTTTCACAGTGCCAAGCTAGATGTCTTTATGAAATGAGTCTAATCCAGGTTTGGGGTGTCTTTTCCCCCCCATTTTATTTGGAGGTTGGTTTTTTGACCAAGCTTGTTCTTATTGACCTGTTAAAATAATCTTCTGTGCTCATGTTTTTATGTATGTTTGGAACATCCCCAGCTTGGAGCCTGTAATGTTCAAGCTAACTCTCTTCAGTTGGAGGATATTCTTAAAACAGATTGTTTCCTCCCATTGATCTGTAAACCTCCTGTCAGAAAGGAGCAGTATCCCTTTAGAGCGGTTGTTAAAAGGGGTGGATGTCTGACCAATGTGCTATATTGCTGTTGTGCAAAACTGCTGCATTAACGTATTGTAGAGGGTAAATGGCAAGGACTTATTCAGAGTAATGTGGTTTTATTTTATCCTCATGTTCACCACAGTATCTCTTGCTCTCTTAGTTTGAGGGTTAAAGGTACTTCTTGTTGGAGAAATAAGAAGTGAGCTGATGAAGAGAGAATAAAACCTGGTAGATTGCTGTCTGTGGACCTTAATCCTGTTTAGAAGCCCTAACTTAACTCTGAAGGGGATACTGTCTCTTTTACTCTTGCTATAATTCTTTGTATGGAAGGTAGATAATACTGATAACATTGCCTGATTTCTCTGCATATATTACATTTAACCCTTTGAGCCCTTGCTGCATATAATTTCAACTAGGCTGCTTTTTCCCCCGACTAAATTTAATCTGTGGCACTGAAGCATCTTGACGTGCAGTCATTAAAATCATATGGTTTTATTGGCAGCAAGAGCTGACCCTCATCTGTGACATTTTCAAAGGGTTAGCAAGACTTCTGTAGCTACCTACCTACCTACCTGTAAAGTAGCTCTTCTTTGACATTGAAAATCTTTGTATTTTAATTAGTGCCCTTTTTTTGGCTGCTTTTCTGATGTCTTTTTTTCAATTTAGACATTTTCTGTGTGAATGTGCCTTCGAATTTGCTTTAGTATATTCCTCTGCAAACACTGATCTGCATGCTTATTCTGATGACTTCTTTTCCAGCTCTTCTGTATCACTCTCTTTTGTGATCTGTAAGTCTTGTGTTAATAAATAATTCTTTGGCATATTTTGAAAGTGTGGGGATGTGTGTAATTTGTACTTTTTCAGGGTTAGACCAAAGAAATACCTGACTGGTACCAAGTTTAAAGCAATAGTATCCTGAGACTAGAGGGTTTTCCCCTTTAGTTTTGTTTCGTCAAACACCTGTCTTCTAAGAAAGTATTGGTACATTTTAGCCTTTGTTTCTTATAATTCCATTAATGTAAGTTTTTAACATGGCATTGCATTGAAATACAACTTCAGACGTAAATAAGAGTAAACCTTACACTACTTTACATGATAGGGAGAAAGAACATTTGTTGCAGTTTCTTCTCTTGAAGAAACTGATCATATTTTATTGTAGAGAATCTGTCTTTACTAGGCATGACATTGAAGAGAAGGGGAAGCTGAGGAAAAAGACCTAAGAGTTGAGTGTTGTGGAAAGAGTTAACTATAACTACCTAGTTATCCATAACTATCTAGTTATCTGTAACTAATTGCATAGTTCAAGCTACTACGTAGTTATAGATAACTAGATAGTTATAAACTTAATTTAAAATAAATCAAATAATATTGAAATGGACTTCTGAGCACAGTAAATGTAAACTGTATTTAAATTGATAATCTGCATAATAGAAAGTGTTCTGTATTAATAGCAGAAAGTCTTCAGGATGGAATTTGATTTGAGTTTGAAATTGGATACTCAGCCGGGCGCGGTGGCTCACGCCTATAATCCCAGCACTTTGGGAGGCCAAGGTGGGCGGACTGCTTGAGGCTGGTAGTTCATGACCAGCCTGGGCAACATGGTGAAACCCCATCTTTACCAAAAAATACAAAAATTAGTCGGACATGGTGGTGTGCACCTGTAGTCCCAGCTACTCAGGAGGTGAGGATCAGTTGATCCTGGGAGGTTGAGGCTATAGTGAGCTGTGATCACATCACTGCACTCCAGCCTGGGTGACAGAGCAAGACCCTGTCTCAAAGAAAGAAAAATTGGGTACTCCATCCTCTAATTGCAGAGCATGTTAGATTTGCAGTTATGTATTCTGTATGATGAAGCAACCCTCAGCCCTTTTTTTTTTCTTTTCTCATAGTACATAAAGCAAATTCTTAAAACAAGTTTGGGGGGTGCATCTAACAAAGTAAGGGTTGAACCATTCTTATTTTTAAGAAAACAATTTCTAGAAGGACCAATGAAATGTAGCAACAAGTGTAGGTCAAACATGGAAAATATTTTCTCCATTTTAGAGTATGGTAACAGTAAAAAACCTTGAGAATATTACTGTGTTTCACGTTAGAAACCCAAAACCAATAAAATCCCTGGGGAAAGGGGATATTTCCATGGTTTATATTTTGTATTCTTATGTTTTGAGGCTTTAATTCTTTGTTCTTTTTTAGAATTTGAGGAAGGAAGGAAATTAAATCACTGAAGATGAAGACCTTTTTTTTTTTTTTTGAGATGGAGTTTCATTCTTGTTGCCCAGGCTGGAGTGCAGTGGCGCGATCTCGGCTCAGTGCAACCTCTGCCTCCCAGGTTCAAGTGATTCTCCTGCCTCAGCCTCCTGAGTAGCTGGGATTACAGGCACATGCCCAACACACCCAGCTAATTTTGTATTTTTAGTAGAGACGGGGGTTTCTTCGTGTTGATCAGGCTGGTCTCGAACTCCTGACCTCAGGTAATCCGCCTGCCTTGGCCTCCCAAAGTGCTGAGATTACAGGCGTGAGCCACCATGCCTGTTTTTTTGTTTTGTTTTGTTTTTTAAGACAGAGTTTCCCTCTCGCCCAGTCTGGAGTGCAATGGTGTGATCTTGGATCTCAGCTCACTGCAACCTCTGCCTCCCAGGTTTGAGTGACTCCCCTGCCTCAGCCTCCCAAGTAACTGGGATTACAGGTGCCTGCCGCCACTCCCAGCTAATTTTTGTATTTTTAGTAGAGATGGGGGTTTCACCATGTTGGCCAGGCTGGTCTCAAACTCCTGACCTCAGGTGATCGATCCACTTGCCTCAACCTCCCAAAGTAGTGGAATTACAGGTGTGAGCTACTGCACCTAGCCTAGAAGAAGATGAGGATTTTGAATAGGATTCCTAAGAGATCACTTGTAGTGTCTTAAATATGCCATTTAAGAAAGAAAAAAAGTTGTATTTAGAGGTTTAGATTAACTCTGAGAAAAGCCAGGCCTGCCATTCAGAGTACAGCATTTTCCAGAGCATACTGCTTTAAAAAGTTGAATAATACTTCGTTTCAAAAACTTTGTATAAATGCATTGTATTTTATTTATGATATGTGCTGTTAACACATTTGAAAGAAAGAGATCTTACTGTAGCTTCCATTTAGTGATAATGCTAGCTGCCCTTTATTTTGGATTTTCCCATGCTATTTATAAGACCAATCTCTTGATGGCTTTGGCTGAGGAATTTCTTTGTCGATGGAA